CAATTACCATTAATTTATATGGAAAGATTTTTGAGCAGTCCTAGGCCCTAAAAATAACCTCTTGGGCTTTTCTAACACCTTAGGACATGTCTTGCTAATGGATACACAAAAAATTGAGATAAAGCACAAATGCTCACAGAGTTCATAGCTGTGGCAGCTTATGGCTGAGATGCTGAGTGTAGTTCCCAGAGAAAGAGCTTGGCAGTGCCACTCTTGCTTAGGGTATTCACTGCCTCTGTAACAGCTCGCAGCAAAACAAATGCTGAATGCTGTTTTTGCTTTTTGCCTTTTTTTATAAAAGCAGATATCCTGTTCAGATTTCTTTTGGTTAGTGAAAACAGGTACTGATAAAGGTCTTTTGTAAAAGCAAAGTGGTAACTCAGACTTTTGAAAGTTGAGGTGATACCTGCATGTGTAAAACTGCTTGTGAGAGGATTTGGCATGAGAAGAATGAGTTTTTAGAGGGACAAGTCAGTTGTCATTGCCTGGTCTTGCTTCTTGTACTGCCTGCACAATACAGTGTCTTACCTTTTATTTAATTTCTTTTTCTACTTAAAAACTTCTGGTTGGCCATAAAAAAGTCAGCATCCATACTTGTAATATAATAAATCCTTTAGAGTAAATGAGTTATTTATGCTTTTTTCATGAATATACTCAACTATAATTTCTTTGAATACTTATTGCTTAAATGCTAGCAGGTAGGCACATTTCAGAATTCCTTCATTCATTCATTTACAAAATTTTCATTGAGCACTTGTTACAAACCAAGCACTGGCCTTGGGGATACAGTTGAGAAACACTAAGTCCTGTCCTGATATATTCTAGTCTTGCTTTAAATCATCTTGATAGATTACTGACCACAATTAAACTAAATTAGGGTAATTTTATATTACACTTTTGGGGGGAGGGAGAGGAAGAGAGAACCTTAAGCAGGCTTTACGCCCAGCGCAGAGCCAGACTTTATCTCACAACCCCGAGATCATGACCTGAGCTGAAATCAAGAGTCCAATGCTCAATTGACTGAGCCACACAGGTGCCCCTATATTACACTTTTAACAACTTAAGCAAAAACTGAACCTGTTCCTTCTGTGTAATGTTCACTGACAGCTAAAATCAGATATACAAAAACTGTTTCTGGCATATATAATTTTGAAGGGATAAATGTCAAACCAATTACAGTATCTATTCTTTTCAATTCAGCATTGTTTTTGTTCTACTTTGGTTGGTTTGTGTGAGGTCTAAGCCTCTTAGTACTGTCTGTTGGTCTGACTAGTTCATCATTTAGCTCCCCTTGGGTGTTGTTTAATTTTCGGTGTGTTATGTTTTGCTATACAGAGAGATCCAGGTTTGTCAGAGGAATATATCAAGTTTTGTTTTTTAAAACATTTCATGATCAAAATTTTAACAGCTTTTATGCTATGTAAGAGAATTCTGCAGTTATTTCAAAACTTGACCTACTAAAATACTTAGTTTAAGGATTCATATGTTTGAATATGAGTTTCTCCTAGTTATGCTTGGAGCAAATCTCCAGTATTTATCTAAAACTTTGCTTTTTGGTGGACCCTTAATAGTAGTGAGTCTTCTTTGCTTTCCAGAATGCTGTTAAACTGAATGATAGGTAGTAATCTGGAGTTGGAGAGAGGAAGAATGTATTTTTTTCCATCCCATACTAGTAAGCCACTCAGAGCTTATATAGATCTTGGAATGAATTAACCTATGACTTTTAAGAAATATATGTACAGTAGCCTGACCAACTAGTGGGTGAAAAGAAAAGCTTTGGCTAATGGCCAGCACCACATGGTCAAACAGTGCTTTGTTAGAGGGAGTGATGTAGTAGGTGTTTTTGTTTTTTATGAGTTTGCTTTCTTGAATGTTGAGTCATTATTATGTTATTGGCAGGAAGGATGTAGAAAAAAAATTAGGTATTCTTCTTCGTTTTACTGGCTATTTTTCTTCTTGGCGTTTATTCCAGTGTAGTGTAGATTGCTAATTTTTTAGTGCTTTTTTTTTTTTCTTTCAAGTTTGTGCTTTTTGTCTGTAAATGATGTTATAAATTTGTTATGCTACATTTTGCTTGGAAACGTGTATCTGAGCAGCTGTATTGCCAGGTTTACTCTCAAGACATTATAGGATTTTTGTAGATAATTTTGAGAGAATAAAGCTGATTGATTTTGCAAGCTAAAAGTTATAAAACTTTTGAAAAATATTTATAAACTTGCACAGTTTCCAAATATTTTTACATAAGCTTTTGAATTAAAATAAATGTATACTTTTAAAAATCAGACAAGTGAATGTATAAAGTAAAAATTATGAGTCCCTGTCTCAATCCCAGTCCCCAGTATTAATATATGATGTGTTTCATGTGTTTTGCTTCTTGCGTTTTATTTGAGGAGGTTGTGTATATAAATAAAATAACTTTAAAAATGTAACTTCTATATTATTCATGTGTCCATTTACCTAGCATAATGTAAGCACCCAGTTAATATTCATTGAATTCTGGTGGAGCTTTATTTCTGTAATTGGATTTCTACATTCAGAACCTGTAAACTTATGTTTCATTTAAAATAATTTTTTATTTCCTGCATTCTGACACTTCAGAGGCAATCGTACGTGCCTTCTAGACATTTTTATCTCTAAAAGGCTAGTTACATCCTTTATGGTGAAGGAGCCATGTAATTTATTGTCCAAACTGGAGCACTTTTGAGAGGGAGGGAGGCTGCTAATTTTCTGAGACAATAGGCATAAAGATTGATGACCCCAGACAAACTAGGGCATATGGTTATCCTATTCATAAACTTCAGGTTTTTATTTGCTTTATTTAGATTTTGACAAGACTTTTTATATGACTTTATTGAGTAAATTGAGTCTTTTTTTTTTTTTTTTGAGTCTTTTGGAAAGACAGGCTATCAGTGATTTAAAAATAGAGGAAAATGGTGCAAATCCCAAACCTTTTTTGTGAAGTTGTTTGAGTAACCAAATAGCTTTATGAAATCAATATTAGTATTTTTTTCTGTAAGCCAAAAGGTTACATAATAATGTGTCAGTATTAGATGAAGAGATCATGAAGAATAAGCAGTTGTGCTGAGTTATGATTAAGTTCATCAATTTTGACATGGATGTCTGTACCTGATTCCTGTTTAACAAAGTAACTCTCTTTCCCAACTATATGAGCAATTCAGATTTGTGGTATATGTATGCTTTTAAACAGAAACTTAATACTATGCATAAACCATTTTTTTTAAATTTAAAGATAAAAGTGATTCTGTTTTTTGAAGAGCTGATGTACTTTCAAAAATCAGTTTATTTTATGGTGGAAAAAGGCTTTATATTGTTGACCCTTTGTTACCAAGGTAATAATTCAGTACAATTTACCTTTTGTAATTCAGGCATAATACCCAATCCTTTTCTGAAAATCTTATATGGAATTTTTTTCTGATCTGTTTTCTAGAACTATTTTATGAGTTGTGTATTGCTCATCCTTTTTTTATTACTATTTATCTTCAGAGTTTATCAAGTTACTGTTTTCCTTTTTTAAAGGAACGTTATACGTTTAACTTATGCTTATATCCTTTTACTGATTATGGATCTCTATTAAAATTGTTTTATGGTATTATCTGGTTAATCAGTTTTGGTTTTATCCATCGGTCATTGAGTGCTCTCTTTATGTTAGGCACTACTTTAGGGTCTGGAGATGCAGTAGTGAATTCTGGTTATTTATATGATTCCAAATTATGAAGAGGAAGTAGAAAACTTACTCTTGTGTCACTTTACGCATATTCTTTCATCTATCCAACAACTTTGAATGGTTTGTTATTATGCCTATCCCTAGATGAGAAAATGGCGGTGGAGTAAGTAGCTTGGCCAGATCATATGGGTTAAGAAGTTGCAGATTCAGGATTTAAAACTAGATCAGTCTGACCTTAAAGCTGTTCTCATTTTAACTACATCAAGCCTCCTTCGGGCCGTTTCTAGATTACATTTTAGTGCTCTTATGCCATGAATTCTTTTCCAATATTACCGTGATTTAAGAGAAAAGTGTAACGGATTGAAGTCAGAGCAATAGGTTGAAATCCCAATTAAAGAAAACCCCCACTTCATGATTTGGGTAAATGCTTATAAAATAGGGTTAATGTCTTTGTACCTTACTGTCTTGTGATAATCAAATGAGAAAACCTATTAAGTGTCTAGCAGAGGATCTAATACTCTGAAAAAAAATTTTAATATATAATGTGCATCCATGGTGTTAGAACTGTTCACTTAGAGAACTACAGAAAAAGACCTTACCTTTTAGGATTTTCTTGGGGTACCTAGCGTGCTGGTAAAATAACTGTAGCTACCATGTTGATAAAAGAGAACCTGATTTGGAGCCTTAGATTATCAGAACATTGACTTAAATGGAAAATAGCCTGAAGTTACAGTGAAGGAAAGCATGTAGTAATGGGCTCAATTTTGTTGACAGTTTCAAATTTATAATCTTCATTCCAAATGAATTGATAGTTGAGTATTCCTTAGGATTAAAACTAGAAAGTCTTGCCCTGAGAAATTCCCTATATTTCTAAATCCAGTTCTTCCTTTAGCTGAAGTGGTTAAACCACAGAGACAATAGGGATTATAAATTATAAGTGTTTCCAAATTTTTAGTAATTCCAGGAAATAACATATTAGTATACTCCACATAAAATCATCATCTCATTAATATTTCTGGTTTCTTTAATATACTTTTTTCATCATTAAACCAACTGATAAGTCATTTGGTAAGAAGACAAATGGTATCATTTCTCAAAAAACTTAATTTGCTAACAAATTTCGAAGGAACAAAAGCCATTAAGTTTGGCATAATGTGTTTTTTTTTTTAACTTGTCATTTGCTACTCATGTACCTACTTTTCCTCTGAATAGTTACAGATTTTTCTCTTATTATTCCTTTACTTAATTATTGATGTCAGACTCACAGCATGGTAAAGTAACTTTCTATTCTCTCTTTTCCTTACTTTTATGGAAGATCAGTACCACACTTGCTTTTTTCCAGTCTTCTGGTATCTCTCCAGTTCTTGAATTTTCAAAAATAATTGTAAGTGATTCAATTGTAAGTATGCTCTATACTTCTTTCATTGGATGAAAGCATATCTGTGATGCATGTCATCTCAAATTGCTAATTGTGAACATAAACTTTCCAGATACTCTTGTATTTAAATCAAAACAACATTTCTGCAAAGTTTTCATTATTTTAATTATAGGGTATGTGTTTTGCTAATTTTTAAAAATCACCTACTTTTGTCTGGATTCATGTTGTTTATTTTTCATTAGGAGGCCTGTTTTTTGGGTTTGGTTTTTTTTTTTTTTTTTTTGGTGTTTTTCCTTTGTTAAATTTTTAAGCTGTTATTCCCCTTTATGGTTCTACTGATAACTTATTCTGCGTTCTTGTTGTTCTCAACTTCTCTGTGAGAATTACATGAACTAATTTCTCTATTTCCTTTTCTCCTTTTGCAACATATTTTTATTATATACTGTTTTTTCCTATGTAAGAAAACACTGAATATAGGGTACTTAGTCCTTTACATTTTTGTTGTAAAATAAGATTTGGTAGGAAAATAATTACTCATTTGTTAATTTCTTTTTACAGTGTTGTTATTCAGCCATAGCCCTTCCTGTTCTGTTATTCTCCTCAGTTCCTCAAATTACTCATGACTTTATTTCCTGATTCTGACCTCAACAAGACCTTAAACCACCTTTTACCACCTTAACCTCCACTGTTCATTACTCTTCCTCTGTCACCAGGAATTACTTAAAAGCTCTTATTCCCTGCCTCAAAAATTGCCTTCTGTACTGTTGTATAAAAAAGTACCTCTACAAAGCAGCTACAGTTCATACGTTTTTCAGACAGTTTTAAGAACATCCTTGCAATACTTTTTTTTTTTAAATAGAGGTGAAGCATTTGGTTATATGTATGTATAAATAGTGTTTAATGTCCCAACTAAAGTCATTAATAGGAATTCATTTAATTTTGCTGACATTTGTTAGCTTTGAAGTACCTTCTGAGAAGTGATGCTATTCAATATAAGTTTTAGAAAGATACTAGGAGGTACTTATATACAGCATTGATATTCTCCTGCCAGTCTAGATACTATTTTTGAAGTTGGGTCAGATGTTTCTCTCTTTATATATTTTAAACTGGATACATAGGTCCTGGCTGATGTAGAATCGTGCTACTCTCTTTGACTTTAAAATGTACTTTAGCTTTCTTTATTAGCAAATATTTTTGAAGACTAGAGACTGTTTTGTTTTTAGTATATTTACCACATAAATGTTTTTTTTTCTTTACATTTCTAATTTTATGGATTTATCTAATTTATAGATTGGGTTTAATTTCTGTTTTAGTTTAACTTCTTTTAAGCATAATAAAGGCAAACCATTTGCCTTTATTTCTCTGTAATAGTTGTGTTTAACTTAAACTTTAAATGAATTCACACAGAAGTCATCAAGTGAGAACTATGGCTCATCAATATAGTAAATTAAGGAGCAGCAACCTCTTTGGTTCTGACTGCCAAAAGGGCAGCATAACCACTTCGGTCACAAAGTGTCCACAAAGGACATGGACAAAAAAGAAGGAAAGAAAGACAGGAAGAAGGGAGTGAGGGAGTAGACAAAGGGAAGGAGGAAGAAAACAGAAAGGCTAGAGAAGTCTAGGCTAGGGGAGGGTCATGGGGAAGACCAGATCAGGATCACCGCATCAGCACTTGTCAGACACAGCAATCAGTGCCACATACATTTATTCAAGGCTAAACTAGCCCTGGGGGTTATAGTGTTGAATGAGTGGCACAGAGAATGTGTATCTGCTTAACTCCCAAACTGCTTCTTCTACAAGATGTCCCTGTTAGAAGTATGAAATCACACCCTGTCTTAAAGGATCTGTTCTGTTCTGAGTTCTTCTCAAAGAAAGCCTACTCTCAAAATGGTATAAAGGACTATATTCTGATGATTTGTTTTAAAGCAAAACTCCATTAAAAAGGACATGAGTAAGTGTAGGGTTTTATACTGTAAATGTTAAATAGAAAGAGGAACAGTTATGACTGCAAGGGAATTTTTATGAAATAGTATGTATTAGGAGGTAATGAGTCCCTTGTCTGTTGAGATACTCAAGTGAAGACCAGAAGACTTTCAAAAACATTGTAAAAGTAACTTCTTTGAGGGGGAGGTTGGACTAGATGGCTTTGTTTCTGTGTACTGTAAGTCATAATATGTAGCAAAAACTTTTATTTTCTTCTTGTGTGCATTATTCTTACAAGAGTTGAGGAAACAGTTTAATTACTCTCAGTTGTCCATGTTATTGATAAATATGTGCATATTATTTATTGATTGCAGTTGGGGCAGCTATATATGTAGATTTTCTTTTTAAGTACACCAAAGATGTATGGATTACTGTACAAGGGAGTTTAGGCCAGTTCTGGGATTTTACGCTAATAACTCTAGTTATAAACCGCCTCTTATACATTACATAAAAATGATTTGGTGAGTAGATCTTCAGCTTGGATGTTATGATGTGTGGAGTTTATTCTAATGTTAAAGGAACGTTGTGGAAGACTATCTAGAGGTAGATCTGAGAAGAGAGCCAGGGTGAGGTTCTAGGATTATAGCAACATCAAAGGGTTGTTTTTTAAGCATTAATTTAGATGGGTTTTAGATCTCGGTAATTTAAATGTTTCCATTTATTTACTGGAGGATTTTTAATCAAAGATTTTTTCAAAAGGATATGTTAGATTTTTACAGCGGTAGTTCTAAGTGGATTCAAAAGGGAAAATTCTTTTTTTTTTTTTTTAAGATTTTTATTTATTTATTCATGAGAGACAGAGAGAGAGAGGCAGAGGGAGAAGCAGGCTCCCAAGGAGCAGAGAGCCCGATGCGGGACTCGATCCCAGGACCCTGGGATCATGACCTGAGCTGAAGGCCAGACGCTTAACCATCTGAGCCACCCAGGCGCCCTCAAAAGGGAAAATTCTTAAAAATCACTTTTTATTATTTAGATGCTTCACCTCTTATTCATTTATTAATATGCCATTGAACTTTTTGATATTTAGCAAGCACAATATTTTATGGATTTTAACTGGATCTTATAGTTGAATTATTAATAACTATGTTATATTGCTATTTGAAACAAAACAAAAACTAAGCCAAGCTGTTCTGATTTTTTTCTGTGGTACAGTAACATGGAAGGAAATCACTCCCTTCTTTTGTAATACAGTACTATAGTATCTCCAAAATGTAATGGATTTATTCTTCCTTTTCCACATCTTTTATTATCATATTCTATGTAGTAAATGTTAATAGAAAGTGTTTTTGGGTTAGCTTTAAACATGAAGATGTTTAACCACAGTTTTATTACATATATTGTTAATGATTTTTCTTCAACTTTGTTTTTATCATAACATCTCATTGGGAAGGGATTTTTCAATACTCATTTCAAGTAGTTTCTTTACATGTATGTGGAAAAAAAGGCCGTTTTATTGCTTTTGAATTTGAAAAGGAAAATGCATTACAAGATAAGTTAATTTTCCCATGGTCTAATATAACTTAGGGTGGGTTTGTTTTGTTTTGTTTTTTTTCTGTTCTGATTCAGAATTTGAATTTAAGTTTGGCAAGAGCAACAATGAATAATAATAGTAGTAATTGATAGTGTTAGTAATTGTAGTCTTTAGTAGAGGTACTAGCTGCCACATTAATAATAGTATGAGGAGGATGACTATATTTGGCAGGTAAGAAAACAGCAGCTTAGACACAGTATCTTGTTAGTGGCTGAGCTGCAATTAGAAACCAGGCTTGTCAACCCGTTGTTGTTTTCCATAATACTATACAGTCTCAGTCTGGTGTTTGAGATAGTGGCTGTAAAAGTGCTTTATTAGTAATAAAATATTGTGCAAAGATGAGGTATTGGTGTAACATACAATGAACTCTGGCCTCCATTTACTAAAATGGGGAATGTGAAAATGATCAGCATGTTTTGGCCAACAAGTGAAGATCAGGTATGGTATGTTGAACTACTGTATTTTACCCATTCAGTACAGAATTTTGTGGTTGGGTTGGGATTGTGATGTTAGTGGTTCATGAGCCTTACTTTATTTCCCTGTTTAACTGCATGACATTTGGGCGTGCAAATACGGCAAGCTGGTAGTCTTGTTCAGTCTCCAACTTTTTGTCTTTTACACCCAGGATTGATGTGTTTTTCAGATATGATTAAGAAGTCAAGTTTCTTTTGAGTAAAGTTAAAACATGGGAATCCCATTCTATTGAAGTTTAAAATTTTTAGTGTACAAAAAGTAGGACATGAAAATGCTGGATTGTTAAACTAGAAATAAGTGGACCCTCTAAATAAATAAACATTTACACCATGTCCAGAGTGTAGTTAGTGTTCATGCCGAAGGTGAATGTGAGTAGCGAACTTGATTAAGACAAGTGTTGTCACTTTCAGTTAAAGAGAGGGCCCTCTTAGAAGAGGTGAGAATTTTGAGGTTCTTCTTTTAATAAAGGGAGGAGGAGAAAGCAGCAGAGGTAATGGGGTGGGTTAGGGAATGGGAGGAGGACTAAACAGAGTATGAAGTTAAGATTAAAGGACTGGAGGAATCAAACAAAAAGTGGGGGTAAAATAGGAGGTAATCTAGGTTGTAATCTAGGCCCTTCAGCTAAATTACTGTTGCTCTGGAGGTCACGGGGAGTCATTGTGGGGGAGAGAAGAAAGTGATTGAAGAGCAAGGTCAATCCTGATTTAAGCAGCAGTGCATGTTTGATAAGGGAACAGAGGTAGAAGTTCATGAGGGAGATTGATGTATCACTATTCTTGAAGAATTTAGATAGTTTTAATATGCCTATTATTTATATAGAAGTACTATATTTACTTTAAAATTGAAATGTCATGTATGAAGGATGAAGTATCTTCTGTACTGTTAAATATTGCCTGGGTATTGGTAGATTTATTACAAATTTTCTTTTTCTCTAGGGTTTGGATTCAGGATTTGTTCCTAGTGTCCAAGACTTCGATAAGAAACTTACAGAGGCTGATGCTTACCTACAAATCTTGATAGAACAATTAAAGGTACGGCATTCATTTACTGAATTGGTATAAAGTAGTAAATGTTACCAAGCTTGATTTTGAGTGTAAAAACTTAGCTGATGTTAATTTGCAACCCTTAAATGGTTCTTCAGCAATTTTTAAAGCTGACTTATTAAAAGATCTGGGTGACTTACTCAGAGATCTTTGCCTTTGATTATATTGATAGTGTGTATATATAATGTACGTTTTTGGTCATTAAAAAAGTAAATATCTAGGGGCGCCTGGGTGGCTCACATGGTTAAGCGTCTGCCTTTGGTCCAGCCCCGCATCGGTCTTCCTGCTTGGCAGGGAGCCTGCTTCTCCCTCTCCCTCTACTGTTCCCTCCTGCTTGTGCTCTCTCGCTCTCTCTGTCAAATAAATAAAATCTTTTTTTAAAAAAAGAAGTAATATCTAGACATAACTAGAAGAAAATAAGATTAGATTCATATTCTGTTTTAAAATTCTGAGAAACTGGTAAATTTTAATATCGTTCAATTTCTGAGGCCTTGATTTTTTCCATTTTGGGGAGGGGGTTGTTGGGAGAGGTGATTTCTCTACTTCATTTATCATTACTGAAATTGTCTCCTTCAATTCCTACTTTAAAATTAATTACAAGCAAAAGTCCTGGGAAGCAGCAAATGGAGTATTAATAAACGTGGATGACAAAGCAGAAAAAACTTAGGTTTCAGTTGATATTTTAGGTTCTTAAAGGTCATCTGTTTTCTTTTGCTTTCAGTTTTACCAGAGTAATTGATCTTGACTGTTTAAAATAATTCAGTAGAATTGGACTTCATACTGTCCCTTGAAAAAATATATGTTATCTTAAAAATACATATAAATCATCCCTGGAAGAAATTTATTTAAGAACTAAAGTTTGCTTTTCTGTGTTTAGTAAATGTATACAATATAGCAAAATGGCTTGATACTATAATAATTTTCTTTTTAACCCTGTAGCTTTTCGATGACAAACTTCAAAACTGCAAAGATGATGAACAGAGAAAGGTAAGTTCCACTGTCATTATCTTGCCTTAAACCATTTTAAAACCAAGAGCCTTTTTTTTTTTTTTTTTAAAGATTTTATATATTTGACAGAGACACAGCGAGAGAGGGAACACAAGCAGGGGGAGTGGGAGAGAGAGAAGCAGGCCTCCCGCCGAGCAGGGAGCCCGAGGCGGGGCTTGATCCCAGGACCCTGGGACCATGACCTGAGCTGAAGGCAGATGCTTAACGACTGAGCCACCCAGGTGCCCCAAAACCAAGAGTCTTTTAGAGAAAAAATAACAGAAGGACTTCAGTGTTTTGGCTACTATAATAGTACTACTGACTGTTTATGATAGTATTACCATATAGAATTCATGGGGGAGTTTTCTGGTGAATTTCTGTTACGGTTTCACAAACAAAAGGGTAATGTACAAAATCTTTAATACTCTTTTTTTGTAAGTACCACCTTCCTAGGAGTAAGTTCTTTCTTGAGGTTTTTAATGTTGAAGATAGAAAGTTATTTTATTAAATTGGTATGTGGTCACTTCAGATATTAATAAACCAATTGGCAAGAATTTGCTGAATTAAACAAGAAGCCACAGATGAGGAAACAAAACTAGTGTTGCTTTTTTTTTTTTTTAAGATTTTATTTTTAAGCCATCTCTATACCCAACTTGGGGCTCGAGCTCACAACCCTGAGATCAAGAGTTGCATGCTCTACTGACTGAGCCAGCCAGGTGCCCCTGAGTGTTGCTTTAATTATAGTTCCGCTACTACCCCCCCGCACTTGAATTTCTGATAATTACTTTGTAGTTTGAATAGTTTTCTTTTTTCCAGTTAAAATATTTCCTCCTTGATTAGATTTCCTGATGCAGTATCATTTCTTTTTTTGCATTTCTTTTGACCATAGGTTTGCATTTGACTCTTTTACACTTGGTAATAGTACCTATAGTAATTCATGTTTAACTCCCCTTCCATTCTTAGTTTTGGAATTTGGTCCCATGTCATTTTTAAACAACTAGGCAAAGTTTAAGGTGATTCTAAAACAAGTGTTATTTATTTAAATTCAATTTAATTAGCATATAGTGCATCATTAGTTTCTGAGGTAGAATTTAACATATATTATATTTATATACATATATATTTAACATATTGCATATAACACCCAATGCTCATTACATCAAGTGCCCTCCTTAATGCCCATCACCCAGTTACCCATCTCTCCTCCAGCAACCCACAGTTTGTTTCCTATAGTTAAAAGTCTCTTATGGTTTGTCTCCTTCTCTGTTTTCATCTTATTTTATTTTTCCATCCCTTCCCTTATGCTCATCAGTTTTGTTTCTTAAATTCCACATATGAGTGAAATTATAAGATACTTGTCTTTTCTCTGACTTATTTTGCTTAGCATAATACACTATAGCTCCATCCACGTCATTGCAAATGGCAAGATTTCATTCTTTTTGATAGGGCTGAGTAATAATTCCACTGTATATACCACTTTATCCAATCATCTATTGATGGACATCTGGGCTTTTCCCCTGTTTTGGCTATTGTGGACATTGCTGCTATAAACATTGGGGTGCACATGCCCCTTCGGATCCCTATGCAGAACAAGTGTTTTAAAATCACATAGTCTAGGAACAAGATGGCAGAGGAGTAGGAGACCTAAATTTCGTCTGGTTCCAGGAATTCAGCTAGATAGTTATCAAACCATTCAGAACACCTACAAACTCAACAGGAGATTGAAGAAAAGAATAGCAGCAATTCTACGAACAGAAAAGTGACCACTTTCTGGAAGGTAGGATGTGCAGAGAAGTGAATCTGAGACAAGAAGATAGAGAGGGAGCCTCCATCAGCCGGCTACCGGCAAGTGATAGAGCAGTGGAGCACAAAATTGGAACTTTTAGAAGTCTGCTCTGCTGAGGGATGTTACTCCAGTGGCTAAGCGGGGAGTGGAACCCTCGCTGGGACAGTGTGGTCTCAGGACCCTGGGGTCACAGAAAGACCGGGGGTGCCTGAGTGTGACAGAGCTCCCAGGTATTGGAGCGGGGAAGCCAGCTGCAAAGATGGAGCCAAGAAGTGGGCTCTCAGCTCGGGGTTGCCATAACCTGTGATCCATGGCACAGTTGGGCCATTACTCTTTGAGCAGGGACCCAACAAGCAGCAGATCCGGGGAGAATCCCCTTCCTCCCCTGGGGAGACTCCAAATGGGGCCATGTGCCAGAGATAGAAATGCTCGGTCACCGGCCAGGTGAGCCCAGAGTGCGGCTGGAGACCAGGCAGACAGGAGTGATTGCTTTTCTGTGAGAGCTTACCAAGGAGTGGGGCCCCGAGCTCTCGGCTCCTCCAGGACCAGAGATTGCAAGGCCGCCATTTTCACTCTCATCATCCAGAAGCTGTACAGAAAGCTTTCAGAGAACAAAAGCTACTGAGAGCAAACCCGAGCAGATTACTTAGCCTGGCCTCTGGCAAGGGCGGTGCAGTTCCACCTCAGACAAAGACATTTGAGAATCACTGCAACGGCCCCTCCCCAGAAGATAAGCAAGAACATCCAGCCAAGACCAAGTTTACCGATTAACGAGAACTGCAAAACTCCAGCGCTAGAGGAATACAGCACATAGAATTCATGGCTTTTTTCCCATGATTTTTTAGTCTTTCAGCTTTAATTTTTTAAAATTTTCTTTATTTCTTCTTTTTCTATTTTTTTAGTTGAATTTTTCATCTTTTTCAACCAGTATCTTATCAATTCCTATTTTAAAATCTTTTTTAACTTTAATTTTTATAGTCATATTCTATCCCTTCATTGTATTTAACCTTATTTTTTGTGTATATATAAGTTGTTCTCTCTTTAAAATTTTGGGATGCAGTGTCTTCTAACAGACTAAAATGTACCCTAAATCTAGTGCATGACGTTGTCCTAGTCTCGCGCCTGATCACATTCTTTTTTTTTTTAATTTTTTCATTCTTTTTTCAACCAACTTCTTATCAATTGTTTTTTTAAAATCTTATTTTTTTTTAAAGATTTTATTTGACAGAGAGATAGAGAGCACAGATAGAGTGGCAGGGAGAGGGAGAAGCAGGCTCACCACTGAACAGTGAGCCTGATGCGGGGCTCGATCCCAGGGCCCTGGGATCATGACCTGAACTGAAGGCAGACGCTTAACCGACTGAGCCACTCAGGCGCCCCTTAAAATCTTTTTTAATTTTCATCTTTACAGTCATGTTCCTTCCCTTCATCGTATTTACCCTTATTTTTGTGTGTGTATATATATGTTTTTCTTTCTATTAAATTTTGGGAGGCATTTTCTTCTGAAAGACCAAAATACACCCAAAACCTAGCGTGTGGCTCTGTTCTACTCACCAGCCCTCTCATATTCTTTTTTGTTTTCCCTCTTTATTTTCCCCCCAGTTTCGGGTTTCTTCTGATTTGTTTAGTGTATATTTTTCTGGGGTCGTTGTTACCCTTTTAGCATTTTGTTCTCTCATTCATCTATTCTCCTCTGGACAAAATGACAAGATGGAAAAACTCACCTCAAAAAAAAAGAACAAGGCAGTACCGACTGCCAGGGACCTGATCAACAGAGACCATTAGTAAGATGTTGGGACTAGAGTTCAGAATGACCATTATAAAGATACTAACTGGACTTGAAAAAGCATAGAAGATACTAGAGCATCCCTTTCTGGAGAAATAAAAGAACTAAAATCTAACCCAAGTCGAAATCAGAAAGGCTATTAATGAGGTGCAACCAAAAATGGAGGCTATAACTGCTAGGATAAATGAGGCAGAAGAGAGAATTAGTGATATAGAAGACCAAATGATGGAGAATAAAGAAGCTGAGAAAAAGAGAGAGAAACAACTACTGGATCACAGGGGAGAATTCAAGAGATAAGTAATACAATAAAGCGAAACAACATTAGGATAATTGGGATCCTAGAAGAAGAAGAAAGAGAGAGGGGCAGAAGGTATATTGGAGCAAATTATAGCAGAAAACTTCCCTAATTTGGGGAAGGAAACAGGCATCAAAATCCAGGAGGCACAGAGAACCCCCCTCAAAATCAGTAAAAATAGGTCAACACCCCCCGACGTCTAATAGTAAAACTCCCAAGCCTCAGAGACAAAGAGAAAATCCTGAAAGCAGCTCTGGACAAGAGGTCTGTAACCTACAATGGTAGAAACATTAGATTGGCAGCAGACTTACCGACAGAGACCTGGCAGGCCAGAAAGAACTGGCATGATATATTCAGAGCACTAAATGATAAATATGCAGCCAAGAATACTATATCCAGCTAGGCTGTCACTGAAAATAGAAGGAGAGATAAAAAGCTTCCAGGACAAACAAAAACTAAAAGAATTTGTGAACACCAAACCAGCCCTACAAGAAATATTGGAAGGGGTCAGGGGTGCCTGGGTGGCTCAGGGGCGCCTGGGTGGCTCAGTTGGTTAAGCGACTGCCTTCGGCTCAGGTCATGATCCTGGAGTCCTGGATCGAGTCCTGCATCGGGCTCCCTGCTCGGCGGGGAATCTGCTTCTCCCTCTGACCCTCTCCCCTCTCATGTGCTCGCTCTCATTCTCTCTCAAATAAATAAGTAAAATCTTGAAAAAAAAAAAAAAGAAAAGAAATATTGGAAGGGGTCCTCTAAGCAAAGAGAAAGTCTTAAAGTAACATAGACCAGAAAGGAACAGAGACGATATACAGTTAACAGTCACCTTACAGGTAATACAATGGCACTAAATTCATATCTTTCAGTAGTTACCCTGAATGTAAATGGACTAAATGCCCCAATCCAAAGACACAGGGTGGGCGCCTGGGTGGCTCAGTTGGTTAAGCGGCTGCTCAGGTCATAATCCTGGAGTCCCTGGATCGAGTCCCGCATCGGGCTCCCTGCTCAGCGGGGGGGAGTCTGCGTCTCCCTCTGACCCTCCCCACTCTCATGTGCTCTCTCTCATTCTCTCTCTCTCAAATAAATAAATAAAATCTTAAAAAAAAAAAAAAAGACACACGGTATCAGATTGGATAAAAAAATGACCCATCGATAGGCTGTTTTCAAGACACTTATCTTAGACCCAAAGACACCTCCAGATTTTTTTTTTTTTAATATTTTATTTATTTATTTGACAGAGACACAGTGAGAGAGGGAACACAAGCAGGGGGAGTAGGAGAGGGAGAAGCAGGCTTCCCCGCGGTGCAGGGAGCCCGATATGGGGCTCAATCCCAGGACCCTGGGATCACGACCTGAGCCTAAGGCAGATGCTTAACGACTGAGTCACCCAGGCACCTCAAGACACCTCCAGATTTAAAGTGAGGGGGTGGAAAACCATTTACCATGCTAATGGACATCAAAAGAAAGCTGAGGTGGCAGTCCTTATATCAGACAAATTAGATTTTAAACCAAAGACGTAAGAGATGAGGAAGGACACTACATCATACTTAAAGGGTCTGTCCAACAAGAAGATTTAACAATTGTAAATATCTATGCCCCTAACATGGGAGCAGCCACTTATATAAGCCAATTAAAAACAAAAAGAAACACATCGACAATAATGCAATAATAGCAGGAGACTTTAACATCCCCCTCACTGAAATGGACAGATCATCTAAACAAAAGATCAACAAGGAAGTGAAGATTTTAAATGACACACTGGACCAAACGGACTTCACAGATATTCAGAACATTCCATCCCAAAGCAACAGAATACACATTCTTCTCTAGTGCCCATGGAACATTCTCCAGAATAGATCACATCCAGGGTCACAAATCAAGTCTTAACTGGTACCAAAAGATTTTGGACCACAATGCTTTGAAACTAGAACTCAATCACAAGAGGAAAGTCAGAAAGAACTCAAATACATGGAGGCTAAAGAGCATCCTACTAAAGAATGAATGGGTCAACCAGGAAATTAGAGAAGAATTTTAAAAATTCATGGAAACAAATGAAAACACAACTGTTCAAAATCTTTGGGATACAGCAAAGGCGGTCCTAAGAGGAAAGTATATAGCAATACAAGCCTTTCTCAAGAAACAAGAAAGGTCTCAAATACACAGCCTAACCCTCCACCTAAAGGAACTGGAGAAAGAACAGCAAATAAGGCCTAAACCCAGCAGGAGAAGAGAAATAATAAAGATCAGAGCAGAAATCAATGAAATAGAAACCAAAAGAACAGTAGAACAGATCAACGAAACTAGCAGCTGGTTCCTTGAAAGAATTAATAAGATTGATAAACCCCTGGCCAGGCTTATCAAAAAGAAAAGAGAAATGACCCAAATAAATAGAATCGTGAATGAAAGAGGAGAGATCACAACCAACACCAAAGAAATACAATTATAAGAACATACTATGAGCAACTATATGCCACCAAATTAGATAATCTGGAAGAAATGGATGCATTCCTAGAGATGTATAAACTACCAAAACTGGACCAGGAAGAAATAGAAAACCTGAACAGACTCATAACCAGTAAGGAAATTGAAGCAGTCATCAAAAATCTCCCAACAAACAAGAGCCCAGGGCCAGATGGCTTCCCAGGGGAATTCTACCAAACATTTAAAGAAAAATTAATACCTATTCTTCTGAAACTGTTCTAAAAAATAGAAATGGAAGAAAAACTTCCAAATTCATTTTATGAGGCCAGCATTACATTGATCCCAAAACCAGACAAAGACCCCATCAAAAAGGAGAATTACAGACCAATATCCCTGATGAACATGGATGCAAAAATTCTCACCAAAATACTAGCCAGTAGGATCCAGCAGTACATTAAAAGGATTATTCACCATGACCAAGTGGGATTTATTCCTGGGCTGCAAGGCTGGTTCAACATCCGCAAATCGATCAATGTGATACAATACATTAATAAAAGTAAGAACAAGAACTATATGATCCTCTCAATAGATGCAGAAAAAGCATTTGACAAAGTGCAGCATCCTTTCTTGATTAAAACTCTTCAGAGTGTAGGGACAGAGGGTACATACCTCAATATCATAAAAGCCATCTATGAAAAACCCACAGCGAGTATCATTCTCAATGGGGAAAAACTGAGAGCTTTTCCCTTAAGATCAGGAACATGGGAGGGATGTTCACTATCCCCACAGCTATTCAACATAGTATTAGAAGTCCTAGCCTCTGCAATCAGACAACAAAAAGAAATAAAAGGCATCTGAATTGGCAAAGAAGAAGACAAACTTTCACTCTTTGCATATGATATGATGCTCTGTGGAAAACCAAAAAGACTCCAGCCAAAGATTGCTAGAACTCATACAGGAATCCAGCAACATGGCAGGATATAAAATCAATGCACAGAAATCAGTTGCATTTCTATACACTAACAATGAAACAGAAGAAAGAGAAATTAAGGAGTCGATCCCATTTATAATTGCACCCAAAACCATAACATACCTAAGAATAAACCTGACCAAAGAGGCAAAGGATCTGTCCTCAGAAAACCATAGAACACTCATGAAAGAAATTGAGAAAGACACAAAAAAATGGAAAAATGTTCCATGCTTGTGGATTGGAAGAACAAATACTGTTAAAATGTCTAAGCTACCTAGAGCAATCTACACATTCAGTGCAATCCCTATCAAAATACCATCAACTTTTTTCACAGAGCTGGAACAAATAATCCTATAATTTGTATGGAACCAGAAAAGACCCTGAATAGCCAGAGGAATGTTGAAAAAGAAAACCAAAGCTGGTGGCATCATAATTCCGGACTTGAAGCTCTATTACAAAGCTGTCATCATCAAGACAGTATGGTACTGGCACAAAAACAGACACATAGATCAGTGGAACAGAATAGAGAGCCCAGAAATGGACCCTCAGCTCTATCGCCAACTAATCTTCAACAAAGCAGGAAAGAATATCCAATGGAAAAAAGACAGTCTCTTCAACAAATGGTGTTGGGAAAACTGGACAGCCACATGCAGAAGAGTGAAACTGGACCATTTTCTTACACCATACACAATAGACTCAAAATGGATGAAAGACCTAAATGTGAGACAGGAATCCATCAAAATCCTAGAGGAGAATATAGGAAGTAACCTCTTCAACATTGGCCATAGCAACTTCTTTCAAGACACACCTCCAAAGGCAAGAGGAACAAAGGCAAAAATGAACTATTGGGATTTCATCAAGATAAAAAGCTTTTGCACAGCAAAGGAAACAGTCAACAAATCCAAAAGACAACCTACGAAATGGGAGAAGATATTTGCAAATGACATATCAGATAAAGGGCTAGTATCCAAAATCTATAAAGAACTTATCTAAGTCAACACCCAAAGAACAAAGAATTCCATCAAGAAATGGGCAGAAGACATGAACAGACATTTCTGCAAAGGAGACATCCAAATGGCCAACAGACACATGAAGAAATGCTCAACATCCCTTGGCATCAGGGAAATACAAATCAAAAACACAATGAGATACCACCTCACACCAGTCAGAATGGCTAAAATTAACAAGCCAGGAAACGACAGATGTTGGCGAGGATGCAGAGAAAGGGGAACCCTCCTACACTATTGGTGGGAATGCAAATTGGTACAGCCACTCTGGAAAACAGTATGGAGGTTCCTTAAAAAGTTGAAAATAGAGCTACCCTACAATCCAGCAATTGCACTACTCAGTATTTACCCCAAAGATACAAATATAATGATCTGAAGGGGCACATGCACCCCAATGTTTATAGCAGCAATGTCTACAATAGCCAAACTATGGAAAGAACCTGGATGTCCATCAACAGCTGAATGGATAAAGAAGATGTGGTGTATGTGTAGACACACACACACACACACACACACACACACAATGGAATATTATGCAGCTATCAAAAAAAAATGAAATCTTGCCATTTGCAACGACGTGGATGGAACTAGAGGGTATTATTCTAAGCGAAGTAAGTCAGAAAGACAAGTCTCCTATGATCTTACTGATACGAGAAATTTGAGAAACAAGACAGAGGATCATAGGAGAAGGGAGGGAAATATGAAACAAGACGAAACCAGAGAGGGAGACAAACCATAAGAGACTCTTAATCTCAGGAAACAAAGTGAGGGTTGCTGAAGTGGAGGGCGGTGGGAGGAATGGGGTGGCTAGGTGATGGACATTAGGGAGGGTATGTGCTATGATGAGTGCTGTGAATTGTGTAAGACTGATGAATCACAAACCTGTACCCCTGAAACAAATAATACATTATATGTTAATAAAAAATTTTTTTAATAAAAAATTAGAAAATCACATAGTCTATAAAAAAGACACAACTTTTTTCATATAAGGAGTAATAATGTTTTGTGTTATTCTTAGAAATCTTGAATCATATGAATCTTATTTGAGGACATAATCCGTAAAATGAATTTTTTATAAGTTTTAAGAAGTATAACAAAGTACTCCCTTCCCAGTTGCCTGCCCTCAGAGTAAAGAGTACATTTTGGTAAAATTCTTTAAATGACTAGTAAAAAACAGTAATGATACTTCTTTGTGCTTCTGATTATTTGTTTAAACTTATCATTTTTCACAGAAAATTGAAACTCTCAAAGAGACAACAAATGTAAGTTACGTGTTTGGTAAACTCTGGCTTTACATTAGAAAGTGCTTTAAAATATCATTTCTATTTTAAGCTGTTGATTAAATTAATAAATTGCTCTATTAATAAGAGCAGTTGAGATTTTAATTTTTATAAATTTTTACAAGGGTGTTTAAGAATTTTATTATTTTCTAAAGGATATAAAGGGACTTGAATAATCCTTCTAATTAAAATTCACTTCGTGGACCATTTTACGTGTTTCTGATCTTATCTGTCTTAAGATCCTTGGATAAAAGGTATCATCCATGCACAATGTATATTATCTTTTTTATAATTAAAATATATTGTGATTCACGTTTTCTGATGTACTGGCCTTCTCACGTTATATAATAGGCTACTAATAAGATTTGTATTTCGACAAGAGCAGTTTTAAAAACAGGCAAAGTAGTAGTATTCAGGGTTCACTGTATTGTGATAGGATTCTTTACTCTTCATAATTCCTTAAAAGTCTTGAATAGATATTTTAGAAGTTTACACTGGGATTGTCTGCTATTGATCTAAGAATTTGGAAATTAATCAGACTCACATCTTTTTCTGTTTGAAGTGTTGAAAAACCATTTAGAATGTTATTGAGTACAAATTAACAATTTTTTGGCATTCTTTAATGATAGAATTGCTTATGATAACTTCATCTAACACTGTTAGTATATTAGAACCCACTGGAATCCAGAGAGGGTATTTCTTGTGTAGTATAAACTTAAATCCTGTACATCTGAACTGATTTTTATTTTTTTATTTTTATTTTTATATTTTAAGCTTTAATGTCATATGACTATTTTATTTGGTGCAAGATCCTAAAATCAGTGTTCTGTTTTTATAGAGCATGGTAGAATCAATTAAACACTGCATTGTGTTGCTGCAGATTGCTAAAGTAAGTAAATTTTACTTTACTTTCATTTAATGAGATGTAAAAATTATAATGGCATTTCTCTTTAATAGCCAGGAACTTGGTTGTGAAATAAGTACCTTCCTCCAATAAGTTGTATTGTGGGGTTCCTGGTACTATTGAACAACTATTGTATTAAGATATTAACCTTAGCAGCATGTGCCTGTTTTTGATAAGGTAATTTCTGATACGGTGACTGGGAAAGAGGGGAGTATTGTTTGAATGACTCACCTCTTCCTTCCTCCTTATCCATTATCACTGCTTAGAGCAAAGACATATTTTGCAAAACCTTTCACAGAAAAGTTTTTCTTAGGAGAAAAGGAATTAAATTTTAGCAAGAGTTCTTTTTCTCATCCATAATAAGGAGTATAATAAAGATATATATTTTTTTAATTTTGTTGTAGGTTTTTTTGGTTACTAAACTACATTAGTGAACCGCTACTTTAAATTGCTATTCTTATTCATGGAATAATATGTATTTTGAAATACTGTGGTGCGGTAAAAATTTCATGGTTATTGTGCCTGCTTTTCTGAAAAATTTTGGTGTATTCAACTTAAATGTCGATTTGTTTGCTTGGTATTTTGAGGAATAAGCATTTTAGTGTTTGAAAAGAAGAATTAAAAAAAATCCCCCCCCCATTATTTCTACTGACTGTACCTCTGTATTTCTAGCCAGTGGCTAGAAGAGGGTAGACAGGCAATTCAGTAGCCACTATTGGGAGTGATGTTTGCATGGATTTTTAATTACTGGCCTATTTTACTTATTCAGTTGCATGTATTTGTTTGCCTGATAATGGTCACTTTTTACCTAGTATTGTTAATGACACAATTATATAGGACAGTCTATTTGTGCTTAGATGGGAAGGATATTGGGCATATGAGTTAAAGGAGGGCAGTGTCATTTTCTTTTGAGGTTAGATTCAGTATATTAAAGTGTCAGAATTTAAGGGCTTATGTTCACTTTCTGGGTGTTTTGTTTGTTTTACCACTATGCCTGATTTCCTATGTGTGTGTGTGTCTAAATTTTCATCTACTTTTGTGGATCAGAATATATTCTAAAGGGAGGATAGGGTTGGAGGCGTAAAAGAGATGGTAAGGTGTTTGTTTTTCTTGACTGAGAAATTTTATGGGTGGTTGGGTCACCTACTGTTACCCAAAAGCCTCTACAGTGTATGGATAACCAGTAAACTACACCTTGCTCAATGTGAATAGGTAGGTATTTTAGGGATTCACACTGCCTTCTCTGGAAGATTGAGGAAGTAGAAGAGCTGATAGTGTTTAGACTGGTTTGGATAACCTCTACAAGTCATTTAAGACTTTAGATAGTTGTAAAACAAGGCAACAAGCCTCTTTCAGTAGCTCACCTTTTAGCTACCCATCAAGAGTATTTTTGGTGTTCTACCTTTGGAATGAGTTAGAATTCAAATTATTAATACTCCTTTTTAGAAGTTTCTACTATTTTTTTTTTAAGATTTTTTTTATTTTTGAAGTAATCTCTACACTCAACATGGGGGCCTGAACTCACAACCCTGATATCAAGAGCCACGCGCTCCACTGACTGAGCCAGCCAGGCGCCCCTAGAAGTTTCTGCTATTTAGTCTATACCTCCTATCTCTCTGTTTATCTTAGCCTAGCTTGATAGACTTACATTTCAGGGTCCTTCAGAACAGGTAACATAGATTAAGTAAATGGAGTTTGGCTTTTTAATTTTTTCCAGAAGGAAGTTTTATTAAGGCTTTTATGTTCAAATACTATCCCTTAAATTATATATGTACTGTATATGAACTTTGTGTGTGTCTTTAAATGTAAATCAGACCATTTCACTCGTCTGCTCAAATCCCACTAAATGGTTTCCCATCTCTCTTGGAATGCACTCTAAACTATTTACAATAACTTACATCACTTGAACCATCACTACTCTATCACCTCATCTACCCTCACTTGATCACACTACTCCAACAATATTGGCTTGTTTTCTTTTTCACAGACAGGCCAGACTTTTTCTGCTTCAGGGATTTGTATTTGCTTTCCCCGCTGCCTAGAAGGAACTTACCCCAGATTTCCAGGACTCACCCCCTCACTTTATTCAGATTTCTGCCCACATGAAATCTCTTTGAAGAGACCTTCCTGACCACTCTATCTAAAATAATCTCTAATCTCTCATTTGTGTTTTTTTCTTCATGGCCTTGCATCACTAGCCAGAATTACATGATACCTTGTTTATTGTCTTTCTACCACCTGATTTATAATCTCCTTAAGGACTTTGTCTTATTTGCCATTGTATTAGTCTGCTTGGGCTGCCCTAACAAGCCACCACAGAGTGGGTGGCGTAAACAAAAGAAATTTATTTTCTCGCAGTTTTGGAAGCTAGAAATTCAAGATCAAGGTTCCTGCCAATTTGGTTTTCTGTGAGGACCCTTTTTAACTTGTAGACAGCCACCTTCTCAGTATGTCCTCATGTGGCCTTTCATTGGTATGTGCACAAACAGAGAGAGAAAAGAGAGGGAGGGAGGGGGGAGGAGGAGATGGAAGGGACAGAGGGAGAGTAGGGAGAGAGAAGGTGAGAAGAGCTCTCTGATATAAGGACACTTACTAGGTCAGGGCTCCATCTTTAGGACCTTATTAAACCATAATTTACTTCATTAGAGGTCCCATCTCCAAATATAGCCATCCTGGGGGTTAGGGCTTCTTCTGAATTTGCCGGTGGTGGGTGGAGACACACAAATATTCGCTCTATAACACCACTGTATCCTCAGTGCCTAGAACAGTTGCCTGCCACATGGTAGGGGCCTGATAATTGTAAATTTTGAATGGATGTTTCTAATACATAACTTTTAATGGTTGCATAGTTTAGTGTTTCCCCTTTATGATTTTTTTTATTTAGCCACCTCTCTGTTCTGCTGTTGGTAAACATGGCAGAACTTCTATCTAATACTAATGGGAATATAAATTATTAGTCATTTTGGAGGATTATTCTTCATTGACAGGTTAATAAAATATTGAAATCAGCTACTTTGAGAGATTGCCACCTGAGACCTAACGGATATAAGAAGATAGCTAATTTGATATCTTTGTAGTTTGGAGTAATTTAGTATTAGCTTCTTAGAGGCAGCATGCTGTAGGTAGGATTTTAAACCCCTTCCAGTTTTGATTCTTTCATTCTCACTACCAGAAGTTCCCCTCCTGTCTAAATGATTAATGCATTGGTTCCCAAACTTTGCGGCTCACTGGAATCACCTGAGGATCTTTAACAAGTCTTATGCCTGGCTCCCACTCCCAGACATTGTGTGGTAATTGCTGTGGGTTGTCACCTGGGCTTTGGGATTTTTAAACTCCCAGGTGGTTGTAATATGCAGCAAAGTTTGGGCATCACTTGGTTAGTGGGATTTTCAGGTAAGTTCTGTTAGTTCAGAAGACTTCATTTTTTGTACCATAGATAGAGACAGTTGGCGTTTCATGAGAAACTGCAGAGGAAGGTGGGGGAGATGGAAGAGAGCAGAAATAATCTGGGAGGCCCCTACATCTGAGGACTTGACCAGTTCCTTATCAAGATTAGGTGATAAGACCTATATGCCACAACTCAGATAAGCAAGTGAAATTAATAATGTATTTTATTTAACCCAGTATATCCAAAATCATTTCAACATAAGCAATGTAAAAATTCATTAATGAGACACTTCATTGTCTTTTTTTTTTGTACTAAGTTTTCAGTATCTTGGGTGTATTTTTTACTTTGAACCAGCCACATTTCAAGTGCTTAATAGCCACATGTGACTAGTAGCTCCCAAACTGGACAGTACAGGTCTAGGTTATCCTTTCAAAGTAGATTGTATATTTAAGTTGTCTTTGGATCGCACATTCTCTCCCCAGAACATTTTCCTTCATAAGAGTTTTTGTTTTCATAAGTATTTTTAAATTCTTCATTAGACTTTTAAGAGAACAGGTTTACTGATACTAATTTACATATCATAAAATTCACTCATTTAAAGTGTACATTTCAATGGTTTTTGGTATATTTACAAAGTTGTACAATCATCACTATAATCAAATTATAGTACATTTTTATCACCACAAGAAGAAATGTTGTACCTATTAAGCAGTCATTCCCTGTTCCTCTTTCCCTTGCTACCCTTGCCCCTGTTCTTCCTCCAATCCCTGGCATCCACTGATCTGTTTCTAGATTTGCCTATTCTGGACATTTCGTGTAATTAGGATCCCACAGTATGTGGTCTTTTGTGACTGGCTTCTTTCACTTAGCATAATGTTTTTAAGGCTCATTCATATGGTAGCATGTATCAGGACTTAATTCCTTTTCATTTCTGAAGAATAGTTTATTGAATGGATATCCCACATTTTGTTTATTCATCAGTTGATGAACATTTGGGTTGTTTCCTTTTTTTTTTTTGGCTATTATGAATAATGCCACAATGAATGTGTACATTATAATGGTTTTGTGTGGAGGTATATTTCCATTTCTTTTAACTTATGCATGGAAGTGGCCTTAACAGGGTCATACAGTAACTCTGTATCTTTTTTAGAAATTGCTAAACTACTTTTCAAAGCACCTACACCATTTTACATTCTCACAGTGTGTTACAATTCCATTTTCTCCACATCCTTACCAATATTTGTGATTCTCCTTTTTTTTTTTTTTTTTTTTTAGTGGCTTACAACAGCACTCCTTTATAAGCTCACATTTCTATAGATCAGACTCTTAAAGTGACTGGGCTGGGTTCTATGCTTAAGGATATCACAGGGTCCAAATTAAGGTTCTAGACAGGTTGAACTATCTGTGGAGGCTCTGGGAAAGAATCCACTTCCAGGCTTATTCAGGTTGTTAGCAGAATTCAGATCCTTGTTGTAGGACCAAGGTCCCCATTTCCTTGCTAGTTGTTGGCTAAAACTTGGTGTCAGCAACTAAACGCCTCTCTCTGGTCCTTGCACAGACTCCCTCTATCTGCAAAGCCAGCAGTGGCACATCATATCCTTCTCATGGTTCACATTTCTGACCTTCTCTTCTGCCACCAGGCAGGGAAAGCTCTCTACTTTTAATGGCTCATGAAATTAGATCAGATCCACCTGAATAATGTTTCTATCTTACGGTCAGTGCTAAATATCATATGATTTCACTTATGTGGAATCTGAAAAACAAAACAAATGAACAAACAAAAACAGAAACAGACCCATAAATGGAGAGAACAGCTGGTGGTTGCCAGAGAGGAGGGGAAATGAGGGAACTAGGCAAAATGGGTGAAGGGGAGTGGGAGGTATAGGCTTCTGGTTATGGAATGAGTAAGTCATGGGGATGAAAGGTACAGTACAGGGAATGTACTCAATGGTATTGTAATAGTATGGTGACAAATGGTAGCTGCACTTGTGGTAAGCAAGTAAAAAAAAAGTATAGACTTGTCTATACTATACTATACTAATCACTGTGTTGTACACCTGAAACTAATGTAACATTGTCAACTATACTTCAGTTAAATAAATAAATAAATAATCCACAGAACTTGTGAATATGATGAGATCACGCTTCTGATTGTCTTTTTGGTTGTAGCCATTCTCTTGATATCTTGCAGTTTTCATTTGCATTTCCCTAAGGAATAGTAATGTTGAGTATCTTTTCACATACTTATTAGCCATTCATATATCTTCGGAGAAATGTCTTTTCAAATCTTTGCTCATTTTTTAGTTGGGTTCTTTTTAATCTTGTTGAGTTGTAGGTTCTAAATACAAATCCTTATCAGACATGATCTGCATATTTTTCTTCAAGTTTGTAGGTTGTCTTTTCACTTTCGTGATAGCATCCTGAGACACATGCATATTTTTATTTTTGATGAGATCCTGTTTATCAGATAAATCTTCTATTGTTTGTGCCTTTGGTGGCTTATCTGAGAAGTCATTGCCTAATCCTAGATCACAAAGATTTATTCCTGTGTTTTGAGTTTGAAGTTTTAGCTCATATTTGCATTCATCTTTGTGGTGTGAGGTAGGGGTCTAAATTTATTTTTCTGCATGTGGCTATCCAGTCGTCCCAGCCTCATTTGTTGAATCTCATCAGACTTGAATTAGCATGTTTATTTTTTGTTGCATATAATTAGTAAGTGTATTGGTCCATAATTAGGGAGCTTTTACTGGACTGCATTGCCTTATTAGAAAGATGAGGATAGGGGTGCCTGGGTGGCTCAGTCATTAAGCGTCTGCCTTCGGCTCAGGTCATGATCTCAGAGTCCTGGGATCGAGCCCCACATCGGGCTCCCTGCTTGGTGGGAAGCCTGCTACTCCCTCTCCCACTCCCCCTGCTTGTGTTCCCTCTCTCGCTGTGCCTCTCTCTGTCAAATAAATAAATAAAATCTTTAAAAAAAAAAAAAAAAGAAAGATGAGGATATATTTCATGTATTTTCTTAGTAGGCATGGTTTTAAAAATATTAGAGTCTGTAGTTCTGGCCAGAAGTCTTCCCAAATTATGTTGTGCTGATGTTTTTGTTCATTTTCAGATTTATAGATCTCAGTCATGCTGGTATGTTCTGAGAAGAGACTAGCCTTTGTATTAAGGAATGAGGGATTTATAACCACATAAAAATACAGTATAATTTAAGTGGGAAGTAGCATTAGACCTTTTCTTTGTTTCATTAAAATAATTCATATTGAATTCAATCAGATCTCTAGTTCAGTAATACTTGAGATTTAGCTTTAACTGACCTTGATTAAAGGCCACTATGGTATACTTACAAAACAAAAACAGAACAATTTTTAAAAAGAAAGATGGAAGTGGGAGCGGGGAAGGGATGAATGTAGCCTTTTTAGGTAGTAGAACAAAATCCCTAAAGTACGTGATGGGAATGGATTGATAGGAAGGCATTTAATAGTCTATGATTTGACTCTGCCTTAAAAGACCACAACAGTTGGGATGCCTGGGTGGCTCAGTCGGTTAAGCGGCTGCCTTCGGCTCAGGTCATGATCCCAGGGTCCTGGGATCGAGTCCCACATTGGGCTCCTTGCTCGGCGGGGAGCCTGCTTCTCCCTCTGCCTGCCTCTCCCCCTGCTTGTGTTCTGTCTCTCTCTCTGACAAATAAATAAAATCTTAAAAAAAAAAACAAAAACACAATAACAAAAATAATGAACCCTGATCTAAAATACTCTGTAGGTAGCATACATTATTAATTGAGAACATTTTGGGGGGAAAGTTTGTCAGATACTGAAATTTATTTTAAATTATACCAGAATTAAAAGTGGTTGGTTTCTTAGATAATATACATATATAATGTGGTATATCAGTAATCATTCACTGCATAACAAACCAGTCTAAACTGAGGGTCTTAAAATAGCAACAGTCATTTAAATTTTGCTCACAAATATGCAGTTTGAGTAGACCTCATGACTTGTTTCTGTTTCATGAAATGTCACCAGTAATGACTTGATGCAGGGCTAGAGGATCTACTTTCAAGGTGGCTCACTCACATGCCTGGAAAGTTGGACTGAGGGCCTAAATTCTCCATATAGTCCTCTTTACAGCTGCTTGGATTTTCTCACAGTATGGTGGTTGGGTTCCTAGAAAACAGTGAAAGTTTGTGACATTTCCATGACCTAGTCGTAGAAATCACATATAGTCACTTCTGCTGTACTTACTGGTAGAGACCATCACAAAGGCCCACCTAGGTTCTAGGGTAAGGGACATGAACACTGCCTCTTTTGGGGGCCATTTCTGGAAAATTTAATCTATCACATGTTATGTAATATTTCTTTCCAAGAAATCCTTTGGAAAAATCAATTTAATATTTAGAAATTAATAGGGGAAGGCCAGAATTAAGTTAAAATGTCATCTACGCAAGAAACTTTCTCAATTTATTTTCAACTGTCTCTGTTAAGAATTAACTGAAACTTTGGATATTCTAAATATATAGTTAATTTTGCAAATAGGGGGAAACCCCATCATGAATTGCACAGTTAACAAAATGCAGTTATTCTCAAGGACCCAGTGTATAGTCATATTCATAGCTACACTTTATTAGAGCAAAGGATCCAAAGCAAAATCAGCAAAGGGAAAAGGCACATGGGGCAAAATCCAGAGGAAACCAGCACAAACTTCCAAGTGTCTTCTCCCAGTAGACTCACATAGAATGTGCTTACTTCCTCCAGCAACACATTGTGACAACATATGTGAAATTTGGGGGCACCTGGGTGGCTCAGTTGGTTAAGCCTCTGCCTTCTGCTCGGGTCATGATCTAAGAGTCCTGGGATCAAGCCCCACATGGGTTCTCTGCTCATGGGGGAGTCTGCTTAGCCCTCTCTCTCTGCCACTTCTTCCCCCCCCCCCCCCGCCCCTTGTGCTCTCTCCCTCCCTCTCTCTGCCTCAAATAAATTAAAAAAATCTTAAAAAAAAAAAAAAAAGTAAAATTTTGTCTACCGGGGAAGCTCATTGAAGACTCAACACCCTCAGTTTTTGTTGGGGCCTTGTCATATAAGCACTCTCTAGCTAGGACTTATCAAGATTCCATACTCCCAGAAGGAAAGCTGGTTGTTAGCATAAACCATATTATTAAACAGTTTAGGCACAGTGAGCCACTCTTATCATCAGATAGAGTGGTGGGGACCCTCCCAAAATTCAAGTTCCTAATCATTAGCCAAAGGCCAATTTTGCAGGCAGATATGCTGCTATGTTAATGCTTTTCTGTACCTGCACTTAAAAATATATATATGTTCCCAAATCTTCAGTTGCTCTTGGTTGACCCTTCAATGTGTGGATTTCTGAGTAAACTCAGTGGTTAAAGAAAAATTTATAGATATAAATGAGATACAACTTGGCCATTATGGTTTTTTTTTTTTTTTAAGATTTTATTTATTTGACAGAGAGAGACACAGCAAGAGAGGGAACACAAGCAGGGGGAGTGGGAGAGGGAGAAGCAGCCTTCTCGCGGAGCAGGGAGCCTGATGCAGGCCTTGATTCCAGGACCCTGGGATCATGACCTGAGCCTGAGCCGAAGGCAGACGCTTAACGACTGAGCCACCCAGGCACCCCGGCCATTATGTTTAAAACCAAGACCAAATATTGGTTTCTGTTAAAACTTTAAAACTTCCTGATAGTATGGAGCTAGAACTTTAAACATAATACAAATAGGTGGATTATAATTACAGAAGTGAATATGTGTTGATAACTTTCCACCACCTTCTTCCTGAAGTACATCCTTGGAGAAGCAAGGCAAAATAGCATATTAAGAACATGAGTTCTGAAGCCAGACTAATGGAATCCTGGCTCCCCACCCTCTATCTGTCTCAATTTTCTTATATGTCCAGTAGGAAAAATAATAGTATCTACTTTATCGAGTTGTTGGTGGAATAATTAATGCAAAATATTTGTCAGGCAGTTAAGTGCTAATTCCTATGTCATTCCATGGATCAGTGATTATTACATTTACTTAAACAAAAATCAAACCATCTATTGAGAAAAGTATAATTCTGGGGCCTGCAGCCAGAATATGGGAAATAGTGTCTCTTCCAAGATTTTAAGGGTATATGATTCTTACACCTTTAAAATGCAGTGAGAGTTTGGGAGTTGTGGGTAGTTGGCATAATTTACTATAAAATTAAACCCAGAAATATTCAGGGTCTTCAATCCTAAATTAGTATATCTGCTGTTAATAGTTGATACTGATATAACTGCACAGTTCCATAAGATATTCATAATGAATTTAATTCAACTGCCTATATAAAAAAACAATTGCCATGCTGTTGGTGGTGGTGGTTGTGTAGCCATTGATAGAATTACGTTTGGCTAGCAATGTACAGATGGAATTATAATCTCAATAGAAACCGAGAAATAGTTTTCTAACATTGTTACTAGTAGAATAAGCTTTCATAATAGGGAAGAAAGTACACAAGGACTTACTTAAATAAAAGAATGAAGTTAATATTTTTAACATTTTTCCTTAAGGACCAGTGTAATGCGGAGAAGCACGCAGATGGAATTATAGTAAGTTTAATCTAATCTTTTTGTTTCCCTTTACTTCTGCAGAGCATTATAACCAGTCATGTCAGGAGAAGCCTGAACTTCTACTCATTTTTCAACACAAATTCCTCTTTTTCACCTACTCACTGCTTTTTGTTGTTGACTCTTGCAATTTTCCTTAAGCTTCTAAAATTGGCCATCTTTCAGTAATCATTTGCAGGGAAAATGTTAAAATTTTTCTAAGTGTTGGTTCAGATTGAATCACTTTGCATGTGTTAACATGAAGGGTTAATCATGGTGTGAAAATACAGCTTTTATGACTAAGGCATAACTCACAATGCTACATTTCTTGTCAAACTTCTTTTTTTCTCAGATGAAAGCAGAAGGGGAGGGATTCAGTATTGAAACATATCTTAATCTTTTTAATATTGTGTGTTGGTTTCTATTTTTTAGATTTTGTGTGTTAACTATCATTGCTACTGTGGTATATACTGTTTTTATTAGAATAAATTGCAGCATGAATTCTTCCATTTACAGCCATTTTCTTATTCTTTCCTCCTCCTCAGCTTTTTACTCTTCCCTTAGATTCAACTTCTCCTTTAAAAAGAAAAGAAAATTTTATTGTTGGTGTTTCCCATCTGGAAATAAAAGTTAGAATTTGAAGATTTGTAGTTGGAGTGACCCTGTTTTTATGGTAAACTGAGTGACTTCTGTTTAGACTGTATTTCTAAAGCAGGAGGCAGCCCCTTTTTTTGTCCCAAGACTTTAAAGATGCCACCTTGTCTGAGATCTGGAAACTTCAAAATCTTCAAAACCATCTCATGATTATACTTGAAAGGATAAGCATGTTATCTTTGTATTTGGTTTAAAATGAAAAAAGTTAAATATCGATGTTGTTTGCATATTTCTTAAGAAGCCAGAGATAAGAGAAGCATTTTTAGAATTTGAATTAAAGACGTTGGAATTTTTATCTGTCTTTTCACAGTGCGAGTTCAGAATTTGATCCATGGTGATAATACAATTATGTGATCTGAATACAATGTAATATAATGTAGTATCTCTTCCTGAGCTCTCAGTTAAGATTGTAAGCCTCATGGAAAAAGGACTATATATGTTGTCTAGCATGTCATGGTCCCCAAAGATCCTAAGGAAAATCATGTTGGCAATTATTTTTATCTCTCTTTCCTCAAAACAAAATTAGTTACTTTTTATTATGTTAAAAAATCGGCAGTTTCATAAAGCATACCAAAAATGTTTGGTCATTTGCAATTAAAAACATCTAGAAAGTTTAAACTTACAAAAAATCTAAACCTGTAGAAAACAACCATACTTGAATCATTTGATCAGGACTATAGCATTTTTCCTTAAGAGTTTTTATTTTTTTAAAAAGAAAGGAAGCGTTCATGATTTAAATCTTAGACCCACACAGCTAGAACCTGGCCCTGCTACTCAATAGCTGTGATCTTAGGCAGGTTATTTGACCTTTGAGCCTTAGTTTCCTCAGCTTTAAAGAAAGGTGGCTAGATCTACCTCAGAACATTGTTGTAAGGTACAGGATGAGCACAGAATCAATAAATGGTAGTTATACATAAATGCATGCATATATAATTTATATTTTGCAGAATGTTATTAATGGTACAGCTGTGGTTAGAGCTAAGGATTATCATTTATTTATGCTTCTGAAGTTCTGTATATTCATTTTCAAAGCAAGGTGTAGAATGTAATTTGACATATTTTAGCCTGAAATTGATTGAACAAAGACTGTAGATAAGAATGGAGTAGTTATATTTTCTATTAACAACAAGCAGCAAAAGATATCTGGTACTTTATTTATTTATTTATTTATTTTTTTAAGATTTATTTATTTATTTGAGAGAGAGAGAATGAGAGACAGAGAGCATGAGAGGGAGGAGGGTCAGAGGGAGAAGCAGACTCCCTGCTGAGCAGGAAGCCCAATGCGGGACTCGATCCCGGGACTCCAGGATCATGACCTGAGCCGAAGGCAGTCACTTAACCAACTGAGCCACCCAGGTGCCCCGATATCTGGTACTTTAAATATACATGCAAAAATCTAAAAGATTAGACAAGCTTAATCTTCAGAACATTTCATCTGGAAAACAAAAGATTACATTCAAAAGATAGAATTCTACTGGTCCCTTTTTCCGAAGTTATTTCTTATTCTCTTCAGTAATTTTTCTTATATAAAAGGTAAGGATAAGGAGGTGACATACTCTCCTTCCCATGGATCAATATTAATGGTGGGATTTTGCCTTTGTAAAGCACTTGGAGTTCTTTGGAGAAAACCATTAGGTAAAAACAAGGAATTTATTCTAAGAACAGCTGCAGGACTTGTTGAGACATTTGTTAGTTATCATATCCTGGTCCAGTATCTAAAGATAGAATCATAAAGTAATAACCAAAAAGCCCCTAGAGAACATATAATCCAGACATTTCTTATTTTACAGACTGGGAAAGTGAGGACCACAGTAGATAAAAGACTTGCCAAATCCTTGGTAGAACAAGGATTCTAAGGAATTAAAATTCCTAGTCTGTCTTATCTGTGCTCTTCCCAGTACTTCAAAACCTTCCCTACTTCATTTTATTAGGGTTTTTATTATTAGTGATTGTTTTCAGGGTCTCTTCTCGAAGTGTCCTTTATTTTCCTGTTAAAATATTTATAGTCAGTAGACTACCGTCGTGACGAGCATCAGAATTCTTGTGCTCAAATCAGTTGATTTAAGAGATCTGATTTAGGGGCGCCTGGGTGGCTCAGTCATTGGGCATCTGCCTTTGGCTCGGGTTGTGGTCCCGGGGTCCTGTGATCGAGCCCCACGTCGGTCTCCCTGCTCAGCAGGAAGCCTGCTTCTCCCTCTCCCACTCGCCCTGCTTGTGTTCCCTCTCTCGCTGTGTCGTCTCTCTCTGTCAAATAAATAAATAAAATCTTAAAAAAAAAAAAAAAGATCCGATTTAGCGATTTTTAATATTTATGCAGAGAGGGGCTTTAAGAAAAAAAAATTTTGAATTAAATGAGAATGCTATAAAAACTTTCCCCTTAACTCAGTTTCCATTGCTAGGGGCTTCTAAATTTTTATGAGTACTTTTGGGGCTCATTCATCAGTAAAGTATTTCTCTTCTAAATCTGTTTCAGTATTTTCTGTTATAAGCCTCCCCAAATATATATTTGAAGTTTTCTGGATCAAGGAAAACTCTATAAAGAACTGAAATTATTATTTCTTGGGTTTTATCTGGTATAGTGTTCGAAATGATCTAAACTTTACTCTGGCAAAGACCTTAGTTTAAAGCTACCCTCCTCCAAGTAAAAAAGCATCAGTAGGGGCGCCTGGGTGGCTCAGTCGTTAAGTGTCTGCCTTCGGCTCAGGTCACGATCCCGGGGTCCTGGGATCGAGCCCCACGTCGGGCTCCCTACCCCGCGGGAAGCCTGCTTCTCCCTCTTCTGCTCCCCCTGCTTGTGTTCCCTCTCTTGCTGTGTTGTGTCTCTCTCTGTCAAATAAATAAATAAAATCTTTAAAAAAAAAAAAATCAGTAAACTGTGGAGTCTTGTTTTTATTTTTATTTATTTTTAAAGATTTTATTTATTTGACAGAGTCAGCGAGAGAGGGAACACACAAGCAGGGGGAGTGGGAGAGGGAGAAGCAGGCTTCCCGCGGAGCAGGGAGCGCGATGTGGGGGTCGATCCCAGCACCCCAGGATCGTGACCTGAGCCGAAGGCAGATGCTTAACAACTGAGCCACCCAGGCGCCCCTGAAGTCTTGTTTTTAAAAATGTCCTCATGCTGGCAGAATAAGTTCTTGGCTTGAAATCAGAAAGACCTAGACTTTTTTCTCTCTAAAATTTTAACTACATATTTGTTTCTTCTAAATCCTCAAAAAGAAAGTCGCCTTCCCTGCATCCCCCAATTAGAAGATACATCTCTTTGCCTTTAGTGACTGTAAAACTAGGTGCCTGTACATTGTGTACACAGTGATAGAAGGTGGCAGTAGTATGAGATGGAAAGATAAAATCCTAGTGGTGCAGGTTTATTTACCAGTTGTAGTAATGTTTAGTAACACCAAAGTAAGAGAGAGCATTTCTCTCTATCTTCGATAGAGAAACATTATTTGTGGTGAATTGAGAATTAAGGGAATTGAGAAGTTACTATTTTGGATTCCCAAAATTTTCCCACACCATTTTATAACTCTTTGCAGGTTTTTCCATTTAGCTTTATCTTTCTATATGACAGATTCTTTGATTTTCCCTCCTTACTATGTTGTTTTTTAAGAAACTCAGACTTCTGTATCATAAAATGAATTTCATTTCCTCTTTGCATTTTGATCAGCATATCTATATAGCTACCCTCAGGACTTTGCCGTCAGAAATGTGGGCATTTCATACATTTGGGAGGGTCAGCAATGGAAGGGCATTTAATTAAAAATAACTATACTGTGTTTCTTTATCTCAGAGTACTATTAATCCTGTAGATGCAATATATCAACCTAGTCCCTTGGAACCTGTGATCAACACAATGCCTACCCAGACTGTCTTACCTCCAGGTATGATATTTGCAAAAATGTTTCAGATTTATTGATTAGAAAAAACTTAATTTGTATAGCCATCATAGTAATCTTTAAGGGCTCGTTTTTGGTTTTGTTGTTTTGTTTTTTTTATTTTTAAGATTTTATTTATTTATTTGGCAAAGAGAGAGAGAGAGAGCACAAGCAGGGGCAGCACAGAGGGAGAGGGAGAAGCAGGCTCCCTACCAAGCAGGTAGCCCAATGTGGGGCTCGATCCTAAGACCTTGGGATCATGACCTGAGCCGAAAGCAGACGCTTAACCAACTGAGGCACCCAGGTGTTCCTGGTTTTGTTTTTTAATAAGTAAAAGGAATCACAAAAAAATGGTACAGCAGAAGATGCACTGGAAAAAGATGATAATATTTTTGGTATTGGGGATTTTTTAATACAATGAAAGAGCTTTTGGTTTTCAAAGTGAGATGGAAGGAAAAGGTTACTGAGAGTTGGATTAACTGGTGGGACAGAATGCTATGACCCTGGATTCATGCTACCAAAGAAAGCTTAATATACATTGACCTACTTGAAGGTAATCCAGGAACTTTCTATTTTGGGGTATTTTTTATAGCTATGAAGAATACAAATGGTTTCTTCTTCATGGTGGACCCTAAGGTAATGGAAGGGAAGGGTGAAATTTGTGATGCCTACAGATTAGAAAGACCTATTTTTAAGTATAGAGTAATCTGTAGGGTTTTTTGTTTTGTTTTTGTTTTGTTTTGTTTTTTAACTAGCAAAGGAAGGTTTAGGGACAACACCCATGTGTACAAATTCCTTTTACCTTTTGTTGCATTCAACATTTCTGTTTTCTCGATGACGTAGTTAAGTCAGAAATTGTAACAAAAAAATCCCTTTAAAAATACTTAAAAGTATGTGAAATCCTTTTGTGAATTTTGATTCCTTAAGAGAATGAGCTTAGTATCTAGTGGGACTAAAGAGGAAGTACTACTGTGCCCCGTTTTATTTTTTTTAATATTTATTTATTGGTGAGAGAGAGCGCACGAGCGCATAAGCAGGGGCAACAGCAGGCAAAGGGAGAAGCAGGCTCCCTGCTGAGCAAGGAGCCCAAAAGGGACTTGATCCCAGGACTCTTGGATCATGACCTGAGCTGAAGGCAGACGCATAATCTACTGAGTCACCCAGGAATCCCTAAAGATTTATTTATTTTAGAGAGAGAGCATGTGCGTGTGCACAAGAGGGAGAAGAGAAGAATCTCAAGGAGACTCCCTGCTGTGCGTAGAGCCCCAGTGCAGGGCTCGATTCCATGACCCTGAGACCAGACCTGAGCCGAAATCAAGAGTGGGATGCTCAACCAACTGAGCCACCCAGACGCCCCATGTTCCCCATTTTAAAATGACTTAGGTGGTTTGATGCTTAGAAAGACTTTATCATCAGAAGTGTTTGCTAGTTTTATAGAGCATTTTTACTGAGGTTTTGGCCTACCTTGACTAGTGTCTTGATGTCCTGCCTGATGTCTTAGTACTTGGTAGCATATCACCATTGAGTTTAAAGGGAATAGAAGGTCTGGAAGAAGGAGTAGCATGGAACTTGACTTAATGGAAGACAGTTTCAAAAATTACTGATCTTTACTATTTTGAATTCCACACAATTGCAGTTAACACAGTTGTATTTGGCTTTTTTCCTTACTTATTTCATATGTTCAAATCTTCTAGAACCTGCTCAGTTATGTAAGTCAGAGCAGCGTCCATCTTCCCTACCAGTTGGACCTGTATTAGCTACCTTGGGACATCATCAGACTCCAACACCAAATAGTACAGGTACAGATTTATGTAATTTCTTTAATTCTCATAACTCCCCATTAACATTTAAGATTTGTGTTTGATTGCTGATGGGAAAAGGGATGAAATGTGTTATGTATTTGTGTTGAAGATATCATAGTTCTACTGTCATTCTATACATGAAGTGGTTAACTTTGTCATAGAGCCAGAAGCTTTAGTAATAATTCTATATATTTTTAAAGATTTTATTTATTTATTTGACATGGGGTGGGGGGAGAGCAAGCACAGGCAGAGGGAGAAGCAGGCTCCCCGCTGAGCAAGGAGCCTGATGTGGGGCTTCATCCCAGGACTCTGGGATCACAACCCGAGCTGAAGGCAGCTGCTTAACCGACTGAGCCACCCAGGTGCCCCAGTAATAATTACATTTTAAATAAGATAAAATATTGCAGGATTTTGTTTACCTTAAGAAAAGATTTATTTTGAAGATCTGTATTGTCTTTTTAAAGAAATTTGCTGGAGTCAAACTTGCATACTTCTATTATTATTATTTTTAAAGATGTTATTTATTTATTTGACAGAGAGAGACACAGCGAGAGAGGGAACACAAGCAGGGGAATGGGAGAGGGAGAAGCAGGCTTCCCGCTGCGCAGGGAGCCCGATGCGGGGCTCGATCCCAGGACCCTGGGATCATGACCTGAGCCGAAGGCAGACGCTTAACCAACTGAGCCACCCAGGCGCCCCTACTTTTATTATTGTAAAGGAATGAGACAGTACAAAAGTATGGAGAACAAAAGCTGAAAGTTCTCTTTATTCTTCCCTCTGTCATTTGCATGTGTTTACATGTATTTGTATGCATATATGTACAAATATACCTATGTGTATTTTTTAATTAAAAACTTTATTTTAAATATTTTTATTTATTTGAGAAAGAGGTGGGGGGAGAGAGAGAGAGGCACAAACGGGTAGGGGCAGAGGGAGAAGCAGACTCTGTACTGAGCAGGGAAACCCAATGTGGGGCTCGATCCCAGGACCCTGGGATCATGACCTGAGCCAAAAGCAGCCGATTAACTGACTGAGCCACCCAAGCACTCCAGATTTTTTTTTTTTAGTATAGTTAACAATGTTATATTTGTTTCGGGTGACAAGTTTATACATTATGCTATGTCCCCCCAAGTGTGTAGCTACCATCTGTCCTGTTACATCTCTTTTATAATATCATTGACTATATTCCCTATGCTGTGCCTTTTGTTCCTGTGATCTATTCATTCCATAGTTGGAATCCTGTATTGCCCTCTCCCCTTCACCATTTTCCTCAACCCTCCACCCCTCTCCTGTCTGGCAGCCATCATTTTGTTCTCTATATTGTGGGCCTGATTCTGCTTTTTGTTTATTCATTTGTGGGTTTGTTTTTTTAAGATTCCACTTATGGTGGAATCACGTGGTATTTGTCTTTCTCAGTTAGGCTTATTTCACTTAGCATAATACCCTCTAGGTTCATCCATGTTGTCTCAAATGGCACAGTCTCATCCTTTTTATGGCTAATATTCCTGTGTGTGTGTATGTGTGTGTATACCACATTTTCTTTTATTATTCACCTGTTGATGGACACTTAGGTTGCTTCCATATCTTGGCTATTGTAAATAATGCTGTAGTAAGCATAGAGGTACGTATATCTTTTTGAATTAGTGTTTCTAACATGTCATTTTGACTTTAGCCATTCTGTCTGGTATAAGGTGCTATCTCATTTGTGGTTTTGATTTGCATTTTGGTGATTCGTGATGTTGAGCGACTCTTCATCTGTCTGTTGGCCATCTGTACTTCTTTGGAAAAATGTTTATTCAGTCCTCTGCTCCTCCCCCCTTTTTTTTCTCTTTCTCTCTCTCTTTTTTTTTAATAGTCCTCTGCCCCTTTTTAAATCAGATTATTCTTTTGGTATTGAGTTGTATAAGTTCTTTATATATTTTGAATATTAACCCCTCATTGGATATATCATTTGCAAATATTTTCTCCCATTCTCTAGGGTGTCTTTTTTGTTTTGTCAGTAGCTTCCTTCGCTGTGCAAAAGCTTTTTATTTTAATGTAGCCCAATCATTTATTTTTGCTTTTGTTTGCCTTGCCTCCGGAGACACATCTAGAAAAATGTGCTACAGCCGATGTCAGAGAAATTCCTGCCTGTGCTCTCTTCGAGGATTTTTATGGTTTCAAGTCTCACATTTAGATCTTCAGTCCATTTTTTAGTGTATTTTCGTGTATAGGGTTAGAAAGTGGTCCAGTTTCATTCTTTTACATGCAGCTGTCCATTTTTCCCAGCACCATTTATTGGAGAGACTGTCTTTTCCCCATTGTATATTCTTGCTTCCTTTGTCACAGGTTAAGTGTTCTTGCCCTCTTTGTCATGGATTGACTATATAATCGTGGATTTTTTGGGGGGGTATCCATTCTGTTCCACTGATCTGTGTGTTTGTTTTTATGGCAGTACCATACTGTTTTGATTTCTACGGCTTTGTAGTATATTTTGAAATCTGGTGTTGTAATAAGTTCACTTTATTCTTCTTTTTCAGGACTGCTTTGGGTATTGGGTATTTCTGTGGTTCTGTACAAATTTTAGTACTATTTGTTCCAGTTTTGTGAAAATATATTGTGTATTCTTACTGTTGTTTTAACCTGAATGACATCATGTGTTTCTGTGACTTTCTCTTTTCATTTAACAGAGAATGTTTAGAGAGCTTTCCGTGTTTATACTATTAGGTCTACAATGTTCTTTTTATGGCTTACCTGAGCACATATTACCTGTTTTTCTGCTGATGGACATTTAGATTGTTTTCAGGAGTTTTCTATTACAAGCAGTACTTCAGTGAAAGTCCTTGTACAGCCACTTTTGGCACATACATTTTTTTAAGGTTAGATTTATCATTCTTTCACATTTTTGTCATTTTACAAGCAAAAAAAGATACTTCGTTTTAATTTGTATTCTCTTTATTTAGACTTACGGTCTTTATTTTTTCTGTAATTTACAAGCATGCTATCAGTGTTAGTATTAGATTATTTCTTGTTTTAAAACTGATTAGTTTTACATTGAGATACTTGTTGAACCAAACTCAAAGGAGAACTTCGTGCTTTTGTCCCTGTTATACCTTGGGGAAGTAGGAGGGAAGCCCCTCCTTGTTGCTTCACAGATTTCTTTCCTGGACAGGACTTTTCCTCCTGTCCTGTAATGAAAATTACCTTGTGACTTTAGCCCATTTTGAAATTTGAATTAATAAAGATGTGATGTTGTTACTTTGTTCTTTAATATTTAACAGTATGGTCAGCTGTCTTCTCAATTTTGAAAGAAAGAAAGCAAAAATAGCTCTTATTTGAAGCTCTTGGGAAAATGCTGACAAGTAATTTGAATAATGAGGTTGAAATGTTTGGCTGACTTTTTCTGTATTTCATTGCTTGTATCCACCTTTTGTTCATTTTAAAAACAGTACCTGTGTTTTCTTTTGTTTATTTGTTTTTTAATACGAAAGGATACTCCAGGGGCACTTGGATGGCTCCGTCAGTCAAGCGTCTGACTGTTGATTTCGGCTCAGGTCGTGATCTCAGGGTCTTGAGACAGAGCCCTGCATTGGGCTCATGTGGTCGGTGTGGAGCCTGCTTAAGATTCTCTCTCCCTATCCCTCTGCCTCTCCTTCTTTCTCTCTCTTTCTCTCAAAAAAAAAAAAAAAAGAAAAAAGAAAGGATACTCTGGTTTCTCTTCAGTTGTATAAATCTTTCACCTGTTACTATAAGAAGGGATTATGTCACAATTTGGAAACACAGCCAAAATTGTCTATTTGGAGATACATAAAATTAGTTACAAACTTTGAAAAAGTGAGTACTCTTCTTATGTACATTTAGGATAATTATAATAAATAATGTAGGATATAAATTATTTCAGAAGATACTTTTGAAATATAGCATTTTAGAGTAGGTAGATTAAAGAAGTTTTAGAAATGAGATTAACATGATTTAGTCTTGATTTTTTTCAACCTAATTTCTTCTTCTTTAACTCTCTCCCTAATACAAAAAAGAAATAAGGTAACAACTGAGAAAAGCATAATAGTTTGTTCTTACAAAGAAAACTCTGTTCTTTTGTTTGCAATTCCCAAACTCATTTTCTTCTTGGACACATTTTTAATTGTGTGATCATCTGGAGTGTTTGCATGTTAATCATTTTTAATTCCTGGTTGGTTTGGGGCTTTTTTTTTTTTTTTTAATTATTATTATTACCTATTTCAGTAAGAGAAACTCTCTTTCCCATCTTACTGCCACTATTGCGGGGGGGGGGGGGGGCGGTGGGAGAATTTAGTTATTTGCTAAGATGAACTATTTTTGGAATTTCCACAGTAAGATTACCTTTTTTGGTGGCAAACTTTTCTGTTACGTTTTTAAAAAATCTTTGTGAACGTGGCAACTAAATGTGGCAGGTGAATGTGCTTCTTCTCTATTGAACCATAGACACAAGAATGGGGTAAAGGTCCATGGGTGACTCTGGATTCATTTTTGTTGCTGCTGTTTCTCAACTTCCAGAACTGTGGCCTTGGCTTTTAGATTGCCAGCATTGACTTAATTAAATTTAATCTCTGCCAGGCATCTGTAGCAGTTTGGCATAAATTGCCTGAGAGCTTGTAGATAGATGCTCTGTAAACACTTACTGAATCAATCTCAGTAGTCCTCCATTATTTGATACTTTTATTGTTTTGTTACTAGACAATGAATCATGATCACAGAGATTAGATAATAGTTTTTCTGTGGATCTCTGTTAATTTCCATTTCCTTAGACTGCTTAGGTTATAGAAAGATGTTCTTTCTAGTCCTTTCCTTTTCCATATTCTTCCCATAGTAGATCTCTGTTTTTCTCTGCCCCTGACCCCCAGGCACCTGACTTTGACTTAGGTGGAAAAGAAGTAAGGAGTTTGGATAGCGAGTGCTAGGGCTTTGTGTGGTGCTTTTGTGTTTCATGTAACATAATGACTAATGTGAATGTGATATCCTGGATGATATTTTAACTTTCATGTGGTCTTTGATATTCTTTGCATTATGCATTCTTATTGTGTCACTACTGCATTTTTTAAATATCTGGATCTACAGTATAAAATAGGAGCCCTGGCTTTCCACTGGTGGTGTATCTGTTGTGGGACTACTGGCCCCAGAACTCACACACTGTGTTTACAATCGAAAGAGCTCCCTTTCTATTTATAGATAATTATAAATGGGAACATAGCTGTTTTTCATTTAAAAGTCTGTGTCCCATTCTATAACATGATTTGCCTTTTTCTTTGTCTACTTTAAGTGTTGATTTTCTTTACAGAGAGTGTACCAACTTAACTTTTCTTAATTTTAGAAAAGTCTGTTTTGATTCCATCTCCCTAATTTTTTTCCTTCTATTACCAACATTGTCTCCTAATTTAAAATGTTTTCATTTCCTAGGCAGTGGGCACTCACCACCTAGTAGCAGTTTGACTTCTCCAAGCCATGTCAACTTGTCTCCAAATACTGTCCCCGAGTTCTCTTATTCTAGCAGTGAAGACGAATTCTATGATGCTGATGAATTCCATCAAAGTGGCTCATCCCCAAAGCGCTTAATAGAGTAAGTAAATAAACTATGTATTTAAATGACTCTTTTGATTTTAAAAATTAATTTGATTTTGAGACTGGTGTGATTGACGGACTCCCTTATAATAAAGCTTCTTATTGATTGGCTTATTGAGCAAAGCGAGTTCTGTGAGAATGTTGATTTTACTTTTGACTTAATTCAAATGGAATAAATTAGCATTAGCTAAAGTAATATGCCAGTATTAATTGAACTCCTGGTATTATTTCCATAGCTCCAACATTAGGAGAGGGGCAAATGAGAGTGAGAAAGCTAGGAAGTATTATACAAATAAGAGGGCACCGTTACTTGTTTTATATTAGAGTGGACATACTCAACACCTATAAGCCAGACACTATACTAGTGGAGGAATGATTCAGAGGTGGAAAAAGACCCAGTTCCTGCCTTCAGGGAACTTGCTGTTTGTTGGAAGAACAAACAGACATAATCCAGTGGGATATATGCTAAGCACAGAAAGCCATGAGAGCATTTTGAGGTCCTGAGAAGTGAGGGAAGGATTTACAGAGGAGCGATGGGGTGTGATCCTAAGGTAAGAATGTGAGTAGGGAGAAGGGACATGGCAGTAAGAAGGGGAAAATGGAAATGTTTTCTTGGAGATAGAACCCTATTAAGGCAGTCCTATAGACAAAGGGAGGGGAGTTGGGTTTCTTTGGGGGAGCTGTAAGTTGTTGAGTTTGTAGTGTAAGTTGTTTAAAAAAAAAAAAAAAGATACAGAAGGGGTTGACAAGGGCCAGGTCGTCTAAGACTCCTTTAACCTTTTATGAATTTTGGACATTTTCTCACAAAAAATAGTAGTTGCTGGTCAGGTCTGCATTTTAGAAAAATAGACTTGCCTAGATTGTGTATAGAATTGAATGAAGTAGGGCTGCATTACAGGTAGGAAGATCAGTCTAAACCGGGTAGTAAATTGAGAAATGTTGATAGCCTTAGGTAAGGTAATAGCATGGGAATGAGGGAAGCATGTGGATTCCAGAGATACTAATAAGCAGGAAGATTTCGATAGATATTGATGATAGATTTTCCCTCATTAGAAAATATTTGACCTGTTTTATACCATTGAAAAAGCTAGGTATATTCCATTGCACAGACAAAGCTTTATATGTGTAAAGTCATTTACCTGATAGCTGATAAGCAAAATACACCCTACTGGTATATAGGTTGCTATGGTTTAGACTTTGGATTTTGGAATCTCAGAAAGAATAGGTTCTAAATCTGGTTTGCTTCAAAGGTATGTGATCTTGGGGTGCCTGGCTGGCTCAGTCGGCAGAGCATGCAATTCTTGGTCCTTGGGACTCTGAGTTCCAGCCCCACATTGGATGTAGAGATTACTTACAACAACAACAACAAAAAAAAGCAGGGGTGCCTGGGTGGCTCAGTCAGTTAAGCGGCTGCCTTTGGCTCAGGTCATGATCCCGAGGTCCTTGGATCGAGCCCCACGTTGGGCTCCCTGATCAGTGGGGAGCCCAGCCCGCTTCTTCCTCTCCCTCTACTGCTCCCCCTGCTTGTGTGCACTGGCTCTCTCTCAAATAAATAAATAAAATTTTTTTTTTTTAAGATTTTTATTTATTTATTTGACAGAGAAAGAGAGCACAAGCAGGGGGAGCAGCAGAGGGAGAGGGAGAAGCAGACTCCCTGCCGAACAAGGAGCCCAATGCAGGGCTCGATCCCAGGCCCCTGGGATCATGACCTGAGCCAAAGGCAGACACTTAACGACTGAGCCACCCAGGCGCCCCTCAAATAAATAAATGAAATCTATAAAAAAACAACAAAGGTGTGTGATCTTGGTCAAGTTATTTAACCTATGTAATCCTCAGTTTCCTCATTTGTAGAATGAAGATAAATAATTTAAACTTCAAAGGGTCATTGTGAACATTTTAATGAGAATAGTGTCAGTCAGGTGCTTAATATTAAGTATCTGGCATGTAATAAGCACTCATATAGAAAGCAAATTAATATTTATTCATTTTAATGTTACTTATGTTTGTTGTAGATATAGTTGGCTTAGTTTTTGTTGGGCATTTATTCCAGCTCTGCTGCTTTCTCAGGAGTTGGTACTATTGTTACAGCTTGGGGTTTGCTTTGTAGGACAGTGCAGATTTGGAAATGATTATATGTGAATTTGTAAGCCCAGTACATCAGCCACCTAGTCCTTAGACCACATATCTTGGTTTCTTTTAATGAAAAATACTGTGTAGGACTCTAGTTTTCTTAAGTGTACACATGAACTGAGAAATACAGTATTCCTATATAATTGGATCATAACTGCTCAAAATTTGTAAGGAAAATAATGGACTGGTTGAGGAAGTTTTGTGTCTTAGTGGATCAAATTCAGTTTTTGAATGTGGGAAGAAGTGAAATATCTGTGATACAGGTGTGATACAGTGACTATTTAAAGACATGAGACTAAAGGAAGGGAGGTTTGAACCCACAACTCAAGACCAGCTTAGCAGAAAGGCTTGGTTTAGCATCTTGGTTTCTTAATGATGTATGTGGGGAAATAAATTGAGAAACCATTATTAGCAGTTTGCTAATAGGAATTCACTTTAATTTTGAAAATTGTTTTTTTATGGTAGTGGCATTAAAAGGAAGTAGGCATTTGGAAGAAAATTCCAAGGTAAAGCTTATTATTGATTTTTTTGATGTTTCCAAGCAGGTTTTCTTTAAACAGAATTAAGAACAGTACTTCTATCAAACATTAGGTATTAACGCTAAACAAAGTACAATTGAATATCAAAACAGATTCATCTGTCCTCCAGAAGCATATAACCATATTCAGGAAAGCTTGTAGTATCTGAGTCTGGCCTCAGTTTCAAGGGGTTCTCCTGAAATTTTTATGAAATAGAAAATTTTAAAATACTTTGTTGTACATGTAATGGGCATGTCTACAAAGTCACTGCTAGGCTCATAGGCTTTTCTCTTTTCTCCTTCTTATAAGCTTCCTTCTGTGTTACTCTCCTGGTACCCATCCCATGACAAATACACAGTTGATGAACCCCCCATTTGAAGGGGTCCAGAGTTAAATTCTGTGTCCTGCTAACCACTGGATTTCTTTTCTCCCTCAATTCTAGGATCTCCTTGATGCCCTAATCTGGATACCCAAACTGGTTGGGACTGCAGATGTTTTAGTTTTAGTTTGTTAACTTTTGGGTAATGGGGGATATTTTGTTTTTTTTAAAACAGGGCTTTAAATCCCTTCAAATTGAGTATGTTGGCCCCAGGTCTATATTCCTTATAATCTAGCCCAGTTCACGTATTTATGTTCTCTGCCTGACCTTGGTAGGCATTGAGCCTGTGACACCTGCTGGTTATCGGCTGCTACTACTTCTTTTCTAACTCTCGGGTCAAGTTTCTACTGTTTTTCTGTCTCTGAAGGAAGAGAGCTTGGAAGCTTTTTTTTTTTTTTTAAGATCTTATTTATCTTTTGCCAGAGAGAGAGACAGCGAGAGAGGGAACACAAGCAGGGGGAGTGGGAGAGGGAGAAGCAGGCTTCCCGCTGAGCAGGGAGCCTGATGCGGGGCTCGATCCCAGGACCCTGAGATCATGACCTGAGCTGAAGGCAGATGCTTAATGACTGAGCCACCCAGGCGCCCTGAGAACTTGAAAGCCTAAGTGTTTTCATTGTTCACTTTCTGAAGACCTGTAGTAATGATAGCTTCTATGTGAACTCTGTTATTGAGCAGTATGGTTGTACACAATTATAAACTAGATGAAAGTCCACATTGGAAAGAACATGTGCTTTGGAGCCAGACATGCATTTGAAATGGCTCCACTACTTACCTCAGGTGACCTCAGGCCAGTCACCTGAACTTCTGAGCTGAGCATCCATGTGTGAAGAGAATAATCATATCTACCTTATAGGGTTGTTATGGAGGTTAAATTGTTACGGAGATAAAAACTGTATTTGGCACATACCTAGGTACTCAATAAGACTTTGGATTCTGTTACTATAATTCAGTTCAGCGTTTCACATTTTTTGGTTTAGTTTATGATATTATGATTATATACTATACAAGTTAGCCCATTGCAGATAAACCTTTCCTGTATGCATATCATTTTTGTCGATGTTGCTGTTAGTTTTTAACTACATTCTTTAAATTCTTTGTCCTGATTGAGGTAAATTATGAAATGGATAAATGAGAATTCATCTCCTTTTTCATTTTGAGCTTTATTGAGCATATCATTTGGCCCAGACATGGCTTCTAACCTGAGTAAAAATGAAAAGCACAGTGTAGATCTGACCTTTGGAATTGCATCTAAAATAAGATACATATTTTAAAGGATTAGGGGGTTTTGATCAATTGATTTAAAAGATTGACTCTGTTTGATGATGTATCAAAGAGCCACAAAACATTTTGAAAATAACTTTCATGAAGCTCTTTTATTTAATGATAATTTGATGTCTCTTACCTAGGTCTTTTACTCATATTTTCCATTGGCTCTCAAAACTGGTGAGGTAGACATTAGTTACAGTACCTTGTGATGTATACTACTAAATTATCAAATAAGCAATATTTAGTTACCTAAGAATTTTTGAAAAATAGATCAAAAGAAGGTAAGTAACCAGGACAAACTGTGTTTAAATTAGAATAAACACTGATCTAATATTTTAATATTAGAATATCCTAATATTCTAATATAGGCAGAGCATAGAGGATTTTTTGGGTAGTGAAACTATTCTCTACAATACTACAATGGTGGATTTGTCAAAGTTCATAGAATGTCCACTACCAAGAGTGAACCCTAATGTAAATTGTGGACTTTGAGTCCGAGAATGATGAGCCAATGTAGGTTCATGAATTGTTAAAAGTGTACCACTCTGGTGTAGAATGGTAATGATATGGGAAGGAGGTTGTGCATGTATGGGGAAAGGGGTATATGAGAATTCTGTACTTTCTACTCAGTTTTGCTGTGAAAAACTCTAAAAAATAAAGTTTATTATTGAAAGAATTAAAAGAAGGGGCACCTGGGTGGCTCAGTCATTAGGCGTCTGCCTTCGGCTCGGGTTGTGATCCCAGCATCCTGGGATTAAGTCCCGCGTTGGGTTCCCTGATCACCGGGGAGCCTGCTTCTCCCTCTCCAACTCCCCCTGCTTGTGTTCCCTCTCTCGCTGTCTCTGTCAAATAAATAGATAAAATCTTAAAAAACAAAAATGGCCATGGGGCCCTAGGTGGCTCAGTCGTTAAGCATCTGCCTTTGGCTCAGGTCCTAATCCCAGGGTCCTGGGATGGAGCCCCGCGTCAGGCTCCCTGCTCTGTGGGGAGCCTGCTTCTCCCTCTCCCACTCCCCCATGCTGTGTTCCTTCTCTCACTGTGTCTCTCTCCGTCAAGTAAGTAAAATCTTTTTTTTTTTTAATTTTATTTATTTATTTGACAGAGAGGGCACAAGCAGGGGAAGTGGCAGGCAGAGGGAGAAGCAGGCTTCCCGCTGAGCAGGGAGCCCGAAGCAGGGCTTGATCCCAGGACCCTGGGATCACGACCTGAGCCAAAGGCAGCCGCTTAATTGGCTGAGCCACCCAGGCGCCCCTAAATAAGTAAAATCTTAAAAAAAAAAAAAATGCTTTTTTATTTTGTAATTTCAAATACAGTTTTTAAATGACTGGGAGGAATGTTAAATACCACTGTGGGCTTTTATCAAGGGATCTTAAAAATATAGACACAACGTCTTCTGAGATTAAGTAATAGACTTGGCAATTTTTGAGGTTCTAGAAATTGTTGCAGAGAATTATAACATGTAATTTTATGCAAAGTAACGAGACAAGAAAATGAACTCTAGTTTTAAACTTAGATGCAGAAGCAAAACTCTTAATAATTTTTGATGACCTTTCAGCATGGCTTGGTTGAGCATACACTATGCAAAAAGCACGAGACAAGAAGCCTACTAGTCATCACACTTTATAGTTTACAATCTCAGAATGAGGGTGACAGGGAGTTGGAAAGTGTGTGTGTGTGTGTGTGTGTGTCCAGTTCACCGTAAGTCTAGCGTGTTTCTGTTATCTACCTACCTATATTGGTTTCAGGTAGCTTTAAAGGTTAATGTCTTACTATGACTGAATTGCTTTCTTAAGGCTTAAAAAGGTGATTACTGATGGGGGTTTTTTTGTTTTTTGTTTTTTGGTTTTTTTTTTTTTTAGTTCCTCTGGATCTGCCTCAGTCTTGACACACAGCAGCTCAGGAAATAGTCTAAAGCGCCCAGATACCACAGAGTCACTTAATTCTTCCATGTCCAATGGAACAAGTGATGCTGGTAAGTGACCTTGGAGAATTTAACTCTTTTTCTTAAAAACGTTTGTTTGAAAAAAAGATTTGTAACACTGGTAGCATCCACAGATTGGCCCAATTTAACACCAGTCTAAGCAGATCTGTTTTATTTTAGACCTTTTCGACTCACATGATGATAGAGATGATGAAGGCGAAGCAGGGTCGGTGGAAGAGCACAAAAGCGTTATCATGCATCTCTTGTCACAGGTTAGGCTTGGAATGGATCTTACTAAGGTAAGAATTAAATTTGGCATTTGCTGTAAGTCTTAATGTGTACATGTGGATTCTCAGTGATTGTATAGTGAATGTGGCTTGCAGATGTAACATAATGACATAACTTCTGTTTATGCTTTTGTCTTGTGGTTTAATATATATGTAGATGAGTAAACTGAGAATTTGTATAAATGGATGAAATATGTAAAGCTAGAATTCATAGAAAACAGTATATGTGGATAATATGAATTAGGTTTGGATTTTATTGGGGGCAAACAAGGAATAGTGTTGAGCTTGATTAGTAGTTTGGATAAAACCTAAAGCAATGTAGTGTGCCCAGAATCAAAATGAGCAGAGTTCTGGGGCACCTGGGTGGCTCAGTTGTTAAGCATCTGCCTTCAGCTCAGGTCATGTTCCCAAGGTCCTGGGATCGAGCCCCAAGTCGGGCTCCCTGCTCCGTGGGAAGCCTGGTCTCCCTTTCCCACCCCCCTGCTTGTGTTCCCTCTCTCGCTGTGTCTCTCTCTGTCAAATAAATAAATAAATAAATCCTTAAAAAAAAAAAATGAGCGAGTTCTGATCTTGGGTTTAGAGGACCTGTGTTTGCATCCTGCCTCTGCTGTCACCAAACCATGTGACCTTGAGTAGGTCCCTTCCTCTGTGATCTTTATGTTTCTCATGTAAGATGGACATACAGTGGCCACTTCACAGGGTTGTTAAGGACTGGAACAGGTAGTAAATGGGAAATTGTATGACACACATTGAGCCACACAATTATTGTATTGTATTGAATTTGAATTTAAACTTAGTTCTCTAAACAGAATGCCCTGTTAAGTTAGGAGACTAGCACGTATGGGTGCCTATTGTACATCCCTACCAAGGAAGCCTCATCCTTGCACTTAATTCTCACCACAGCTCTGCAGAGGTGTTATTGTTAAGATTTAATGGATAAAGAAACTAAAACTCATGTAGAGGCTTAGTAACTTGGCTGAGTCCTAGTAAGTGGCAAAACTGAGATTCTGATATGATCTGTGATTTCAAATTCTGCAATCTTTTTACTGCCGCCTCTCGTCTTAAAGACTTGAGCTGCAGTAAACTTTCACTTGGTTAGATTATTATTATTCTCTCTGGCTTTAGAAAGTTAATAAAATTTAGGATTCTCACTTTTGTTACAACCAAATCAACTCCAGTGCTATATACTCTTTGACACCAGTCAGCTTCATTTTGATTTTGGATTTAGAGGCTATTGAGGAAAAAACTAATCCATAATCTAATAAGTGTCTATAATAAAACCCTTTACCTCAAATCTAAGTGAGAACAGAAACACAAGGCTAGCATGTATTTGTGTAATCCAACATACTTGCCAGAAATGTTCTAGGTTTGTCCCAGAACTTTTTCAGTGATAGAGCAGAATTGTCACTTCAGATTTGTGAGTTAGAGCTTAATTTTAGATGTTAACATCTGAATATTTCTTTTCTATATCTTCCACCATAATCGGTTTTGGTCTTCAGTAATGGAAGACTCATCAGAAGATAACTTGAACAATACCAGGTTTATTAGCTCATATAATAAGAAGGCTAGAAGTAGAGTAGTGCTAGGACTGATTAATTCAATCAGTTGTGTGTGAGAAAGAAGGTAGATTCCTTCAGTCTCTCTGTTCGTCCATCCTTAGCATGTTGACTTACATACTCAGGCTTGTCTCCTTGTCATTGCAAAATGGGTGTCATACTTCCAGTCAGCCCATCCTTAGGCAAATAATGTCAAGAGGCAGAAAAATAATTTCTTTTCATGGATTTATTTTTTTTTTATTTTATTTTATTATTTTTATTTATTTTTTTATTCTTATGTTAATCCCCATACATTACATCATTAGTTTTAGATGAAGTGTTCCATGATTCATTGTTTGTGCATAACACCCAGTGCTCCATGCAGAATGTGCCCTCCTCAATACCCACCACCAGGCTAACCCATCCTCCCACCCCCCTCCCCTCCAGAACCCTGTTTGTTTTTCAGAGTCCATCTTCTCTCATGGTTCGTCTACCCCTCCGATTTCCCCCGCTTCATTCTTCCCCTCCCGCTACCTTCTTCTTTTTTTTTTTCTTAACATATATTGCATTATTTGTTTCAGAGGTACAGATCTGAGATTCAGCAGTCTTGCACAATTCACAGTGCTTACCAGAGCACATACCCTCCCCAGTGTCTATCACCCAGTCATCTTTTCACGGGTTTTTTATTGTTGTTGTTATTAGGGAAGGATGTTCTCCTGAAGTGGCCCCTCAGACTTTTTTTTTTTTTTTTTTTTTTTTAAGATTTTATTTATTTATTTGACCGCACAAGCAGGCAGGCAGAGGGAGAGGGAGAAGCAGGCTCCCCGCTGAGCAGGGAGCTGGACTCGTGGCTTGATCCCAGGAACCTGGGACCATGACCTGAGCCAAAGGCAGACACTTAACCAACTGAGCCACCCAGGCGCCCCGGTCCCTCAGACTTCCAACTGAATCTTGTTGGCCAGAGTTATGCGTGTGCCGGCGCCTAAGCCAGTCACTAGCAAGGGAGGTTAAATGATAGGTATAGATTAATCCACATTCACCCCTTGAGATCGGGAAGGAACCTGTGACTCTCATGGCAGCCTAGAGCCTGAGCCTGAACTGGATCAGAATTCTGTTACTAAGGATGAAGCAGGGATATGCATAGGCAACCAAAAGTGTCTGCCACAATCAAGTTTGTAAACCTTGCCTCACATAATTTTCTCTGCCAGATAATCTGTATTTGGTCCATAGCCACTATAAGCTTGTTATATTATGAAAGATATATAATAGTTTTTTTTTTACCAAAAATGTTAAAAATGAGTTATTTTAGAAATCTTTACTGGCATAAACAAATGGCTGTGATTGCCAACAGATTCTGAAATCTTGATGCCTTTATGCATTCCAGAATATTACAGTAATACTATAATTATTTTTATTAAGTTCAGTTGAATGATGTAGTGTTCAGTGATTCATTAGTTGCATATAACACCCAGTGCTCATCACATATGCCCTCCTTAATACCCATCACCCGGTCACCCCATCCCTCCACCCCACCTCCCTTCTGTAACCTTCAGTTTGTTTCCCAGAGTCCAGAGTCTCTCATGGTTTGTCTCCCTCTCTGATTTCTTCCCATTCAGTTTTCCCTCCCTTCCCCTGTGGTCCTCTGCGCTATTCCTTATGTTCCACATATGAGTGAAACCATACGATAATTGTCTTTCTCTGCTTGACAGTGCCATAAATTTTTATCTCATTCTCCTATTTATAAAATGGATTTTCTCACTTCAGATACTTTCTAAAGTTTTTTCCCAAGTACTTTGTAGTGTTTGCAAATACTATAAAGTCACATCCCATTTACCTCAGTTGGTCTTCAGATAGTTCTAAGATATAAGCAGGGCATGTAATTAGACTCCTTTTACACAAACTTAGGGAAGTCAAGTTAATTTTCCAGGGCTTCCTTATACCTAAGTGGCAGCAAAGTAAGTACTTGAACCCAGGTCAAAGACAAGCTAGCCCTGTTCCAGTTACTTGACATAGTGGCATGTATCAGTATAGTGCCAAAAACATTGAAGATGATCTGTTGAATGAGAGTTCTCAAGAAAACATTTTATGTAGGGAGAAAAAAAAATTTTTTTTTTTTAATTATCAAATTTTGGTTTTTGGCTATTTCTTCTTTTTGAGTTGTCCAGTTCTTTTGTCCATTTTTCTGCTGGTAATAGTAATCTTTTTCTTGTAAGAACTATTTATATATTAAAAGTATTTACTTCTGGGGTGCGTCGGTGGCTCAGCTCTTGATTTCGGCTCAGGTCATGATCTCAGGGTCATGAGATTGAGTCCTGTTTCTGGCTGTGTGCCATGGGTGGAGCCTGCTTGGGATTGTCTCTCCCCCTCTCTCAAAAAAAAAGTACCCCTGTTTTGTTATTCAGCATTCTTACTTGGCGGTTTTTAATTTCTGTGTTTTTCAAGAGTGATAAGTTGGTTGCACCAAGTCAGCACATAAGCTTACCTACCAGTCTAACCATATTTAGATTATGAACATACATAGGAAAGAAATATACATAGGAAACTGTTTACTTAAAATGTAAACTCTGGAGTCTGATTATAAACATTCTAAATGTTAGAGCTATAATGTCCTTTTCTAAGCTGTGTTCTATCAGTCTCTTATATAATCTTTATATACCCAGCCACAGTGGTCAACTGGTTAATCCCTGTCACACATATTTCCTGTCTCTTTTTTTTTCCCCTACCATGTCCATGTCTTGTTCTTCTGTTTTCTCCTGTATTACAGTCATACTCCTATCTAAGGCTTTTGTCTAGTGCCATGTCAGTGAATCATTTCCCAGCTCTGCCCTCATTCTGGTCCCCCAGCAGAACATGATCTTTCCCTCTCCTGAACTTCTAGGAACTTTGAACATTCTTGTATATTTGTCACATTCCACCTAAAATTTATTTTTTTTTTTTGAAGATTTAATTTATTTCTTTAGAGAGAGGGTATGTGAACGTGCTGCGCAGGGGTGAAGCATAGAAAGGGACAGAAAGGGAAAGGGGAAGAATCTCAAGCAGACTCCGTGCTGAGCGTGGAACCTGATGCAGGGCTTGATCCCACAACCATGAGATCATGACCTGAGCCGAAACCAAGGGTCGGGCACTTAACTGACTGAGCCACCCAGGCACTCCAATATTCCACCTAAAATTTAAATACTGGTGGTATTCTCTCATCCTTACCTTTGCCTTCTCCACAGCATTTAACACAGGATGTTGAATAGAGTAGATACACAGTCATTACTAAATTTAAGGGAATTTTTGTTTACTGTGGTGCTCCATAATGAATAATTTATAATCTGATAGATATTTCAAAAACAATGCTTACATATCCTAATGAAATTCTTCTCTAATTGGTTGTTCCTAATCTTTCTCATTCCTTCTTTCCATATTCCAGTTTCCTATTTTTTTCTCCTCTGCCACATTCCTAGCCTGTCAGCATTTTTCTTCATGGGCTCAGCCCCATTGTAGAAAGAGTTCATTGATTCCCATCTTTATTCTCTTATTTATTCCTTTAATGCTCACTTAAAAATTTCTTGCTGTGTAATAGTAGTCATGAATGCAAGTGTAAGTGTGGTCCTTCCATTATTTGAGAACACAGATGCATAAGTAGATAAATTGCCTGATACAACTAATGATCATAGAGAAGCAGCATTAGAAAGTACACAGACCCCTCAGTGTCAGACCCAGTTTGAATTCCACATCAGTATGGAGCAGTGAAAAAATTTCTCTCTCTTTGAGCTTCATTTGTCTTGACTGTAAAACAGGGATAATAATTTCTTCAGAACAGGATTGTTGTACAGTTTAGAGTAATATAATGTGTGTGTCATGCCCCAGCAGGTAGTAGGCATCAGAGGGTAGCTACTGAGTGTAGTTTGTCATTGTTATTCTGATTCAGGAGCTTTAGGGAGATTGCACGGAGGAAGTGACAATCTGAACATTCAAAATCTGTTCTTTGTTTCCCATCTACTGGGCAGGTTAATGGGCATATCTGAATCAGAATAGTTTGGGAAGTAGGTATCAGAAGCATGCCTGGGCAGTACGTGGTGGGTATTACCATGATTGGAATGAGATTTTTTGGTTTTGGGGGTTTTTTTGTTTTTGTTTTTTTAAAGCAATTCAGCAATCTGTTTATCTGTAGTGGAATTTGATCCTGAAGGGTCAAATGTGTATGTTTTTCAGGTAGTTCTTCCAACATTCATTCTTGAAAGAAGATCTCTTTTAGAAATGTATGCAGACTTTTTTGCACATCCGGACCTGTTTGTGAGGTATTTGACTGAACACCGTAGTTTCCAATTTTTAAAATGTTACTCAGTAACTTTCTGTTTGTACAGGATAGATGGATTCCTTTTTTCCTTTTTACCTTTCAGACATTTCTGAGAAAAGGCATTATTTTGTTTATATTAGATGCCTGTTTGCTTAGATTATATGGTGGTGATGTTGTCAGGTAATCAAGTTAGATGCTAAAAAATCTTGAGAGCCCATTAATAGGTAGCCAGTATTTATAGAGCCAAGGCTGGAGCTTATTTGATGCAGGGATTGGTAAATATAGTAAAATCTCTGCTTTTACTATATCCTGACGAAATTCAGTTATCTGAATTTAGCAATCCTTTCTAAAGCACCTGGTGTTTGCCAGGAAAGAAAAAGTCAGTGTCTGCCCTTGAGGAGCTTACAGTCTAGTGCCCAGATTACAGACTGACTCATAACTTTTAAATATTAGCTTGCAATAGTAGATATATGTGCAAAGGGGAAAGTAAAGTTGGCACTGATTTACAACGAGGCGAGTTCACATTGCTTTTCAGTGGGAGCAGGAAATTTTTCTTTATAGCTGGGTGTTATAATCCATCTTCTCTGATTGCATTGCTTGGCCTTGGACTGTGGTTTACTGGAGCCAGATACATTTCACTTTGAGGTTTCATGATGGGTGGACACATTGGCTGACACTGGTATACAGTTGACCCTTGAACAATGTGGGGCTTTGGGATGCTTACCTCCCATGTAGTCAAAAATCTGTACTTTTGACTCCCCAAAAACATCACTAATAATAGCCTGCTGGAAGCCTTGCTGATAACACAAATAATATTAACATATTCTTGTATGTTACATGTGTTATATGTTGTATTCTTACAATAAAGTAAGCTAGAGAAAACATTAAAATCATAAAGAAAAATACATTTACAGTGCTTTACTGTATTTTATCAAAAAGTATCCACATGTAAGAGGAACCACATAGTTTAAACCTGTGTTATTCAAGGGTTAACTGTATATACATTTATCAAATTCATCGACCCAAACACTTAAGACTAATGTGTTTAATCATGTATGTTATATCTCAGTTTTAAAATCTCTTGGTCCTGGGTCCTCTCTCCCTGGCTTACGGTGGACCATGCCGAGGAGTGCAGCATCAGCGTGTGTCCTGTCAGAAAGCAAGACATTAAATTTTGTCTTTCTGCCTTGCAGCATTAGTGACCAGAAGGATGCCAGAGATCGAATGGTTCAGGTTGTGAAATGGTACCTCTCTGCCTTTCACGCAGGAAGGAAAGGATCGGTTGCCAAAAAGCCATACAACCCCATTTTAGGGGAAATCTTCCAGTGTCACTGGACATTGCCAAATGATACTGAAGAGAACGCAGTGAGTTCTTTACTGATGTTTTTAGTGATCTTAAATTGCATACTGATTCATTTTATTTGGGGGCAGATAATAATGGTAAAGATAGTAATCAAAAGATGGTCAGCACCCACAGAAGAATAGTGTTATTGGGTCAGCATACTCCAGATACAGTGAGCAGGGAAGGAGTGGCATGAGATGAGATTCAGAGATCAGGTAATGCATGGCCTTGTGGGCCATAATAGTAACTTTGTAGCTTATCAAGATTGCATTTTTGTTTTAAAAAGATCACTGTAATGATTTTGTGAAAAATAAATCAGAAAGGGGCAAAAACAGAAGCAAGGAGACCACTGAGGAAGTTTTGGCATTATTCCAGAGAGACATGGTTGATTCAAGCTATACTGTGGAGGTGGTACTTATGGTGGACTGGGGAGGTAAAAGAAAGGCGACAGAGATGAACCCTGCATGTGGGCTTCAGCAATTGGTTGATGCCATTTACAGAAAAGGAAAAAAATTAAATTTGGGGAAGGAAAAATCAAGAACTCTAATTTGAAATATAAAGTATGAGTTATACATGTAAATGGAGTTGCCAAGTAGGGAGTCAGAATTTTAAGAGTCTGGAGTTAAAGGGAGAGGTTTAGGATAGAAATGGGGCTTTTAGAGATTTTAATATATTTAGATGGCATTTATCGGAATTAGGTGAACTTACCTAGTAAGACAGCATAGCTAGAAAAGAGTAGATATCCAGACCTGAATCCCCAGGGCCCCAACATCTAGAGATTGGTTTGAGAAAGATGACCAAGAAGAAAGACTCAAGCAATGTAAAGAGGCCCTAGCCCACAGTGCCTGGCACATAATAGCCTCTGAGCACACCATGAAATCTCCATCTCTCCCCCTTTCCATGTAATTCATTACATGTGGTCCTTCCTGAAGACAGAGGCAGTGTAATGTGTCTGTTCTTACTCATTTGGCGGACACTGATAAGTGACTGTCGTCTGTGCCACGCCTGGCTCTGGGTCAGGCAATTGATGCTTGCCTTCAAGGATGTCTTAGGGAGGTCTAGTCAAGGGAGACGGACACAAAGCTATAATTCTAGTAGTGAAATTAAGTGCCATAATAAAAGTATGTATAAGGTGGTTTGGGTATGTGGAGGAGAGAACAGTTAACCACCTTGGGAGGCAGAGACTCCAATTGTGAGATTATCCACAGTGTCACTTGTGTTTGCATATCAAAAGAAAATGTTATATTTGCTTACAGGAGCTAGTTTCAGAAGGACCAGTTCCCTGGGTTTCCAAAAACTGTGTGACATTCGTGGCTGAACAGGTTTCCCATCATCCACCCAGTAAGTTACAGAGCTCCTTTGCACCATCCATTCTCAAACTCTTCTGTCTAAAGAGGGTCGTTAAAAGCTCCATAGCTGGGGCACCTGGGTGGCTCAGTTGGTAGAGCACGCAACTCTTGATCTCAGGGTTGGGCATGGACCTACTTTAAAAAAATAATAAAAAACCAAAAGCTCCATAGCTGATTTCACTATAGTATTGGTTTTATGGCTGCCTCTGTCTTTCTAACCTTATGAAGATTGGTTCCTCCTACCTGTCTCTTTCTTGTGTAAGTGCCAAAGATTCTATTCATTCCACTGATTGTGTGTGTAAAAAGCAGGGATGTGGGAAACTAACTTGTCATCCTTCATCTTATACATAACGAGCTGTGCTAAAGACCCCAGCAATTTTGAGAGTTTATATAAATAAGATGTAGTCTCTACACAGTATATTCCTGACATAGTGGAGAGAATGCATATCCTTAATGTCTTATTTGCTCAACAATGTTAAGACTGGAAATACTGGATGGGCCCAGGTTGGGGCTGGGGCAAGAACATGCTTGCTGACCAGAAGATTTTAAGCCTCCAGGATTGCTACAGCCTCATGGTTCAGGGAAGTTCCTGCCTGTGTGGCCCTAAGTGGTGCTTGCATTGGGAGAAACAATATAAAAGGCAGTTACGTACTTCCTGGCCTCATTTGAGGCTGTTCTTTGAGGGTACAAGGATTTTCCCCATGACGCCTGTTCTTTCTCCAGGTTGAGTTGGAGAGGTGACTCTAGCTATGTACTGCACTAATTGAAAATTTCTGTTCAGTTTCAGCCTTTTATGCTGAGTGTTTTAACAAGAAGATACAATTCAATGCTCATATCTGGACCAAGTCAAAATTCCTTGGCATGTCGATTGGGGTGCACAACATAGGGCAGGGTAAGTCTCTGGGCATGGGGTAGACTAGAGTGTTAATAGAATTTTTTTCTAATATGTGCTGGACCCTTGTCTAGTGAGGGGAAATGGCACCAAGAAAGCCAGACTGGATGTCACTGTTTGCATATAAGCATGTGTATTGGGGATGAGAACAGAGGTGGGAGGGTGCAAGATTGATTTTCCTTAAATTGAATGGAGTATCCTGGAGTATCCATCAATCAGACGATAAAGTCTTCTGGCCAGTTGACACTGCTCATCAGAGATTCTATCCCTTCTCTCTACAGGCTGCGTCTCATGTCTAGATTATGATGAACATTATATTCTCACATTCCCCAATGGTTATGGAAGGCAAGTAGAGCTGTGTCCATTTCCTCTGATCAGCTGGCAGCAGAGCCTGCTGTTCCTTAAGCTACACCCCGCCTTACCTGCACTTTTTTTTTTTTTTTTTTTTTGCAGGTCTATCCTCACAGTGCCCTGGGTGGAACTAGGCGGAGAATGCAACATCAATTGTTCCAAAACTGGCTATAGTGCAAATATCGTCTTCCACACTAAACCTTTCTATGGGGGCAAGAAGCACAGAATTACTGCTGAGATTTTGTAGGTATTTTGTTTTTCTGCTTCAGTTCTCTTTTGCTTCTCTGAAATACTTTTGTCTTGAACTGTAACTTTTATTAGGAATTGACTGTTTTAATGGTTTTTTTTGTAAACTTGTTTCACATCCTGTATGTTCTGTTTCTTCCTAAAATCCCATATCAGAAGGAGACCTAAAATCTGGGTTCAGAACAGAAGTCAGTCATTGATTGATGGGATTTCCTTCCTAGGAGCCTGAGAGGAGTCTTCCCAGATCGCCCAGCTAATGCAGATCATGGATTCCTGACTCAATTGAAGCCTGGGCTAGTCTGTACAGTAGACACTATGATGATTCCCACTGTAATGTCTCCCAAATCCTCAGTCCTTTTTTCTGTGCCTTTGCTAGGGAAAAACAGTAACCATCACATCTTGGCTTGGTTTCGTCTAGAGTCAGATGAAGACAACTGTGCTTTCTCAGTAACAGTCAGTTGGGTGGATTCAGAATCCACCTGGAAGAGGAAAATCTGCAGGACTTTTGTCTTTCCTGAGAGGCCTTGTTGGGAACAGTGTTACAGATGGAAGATACATGACTGATTAACCAGTTTTCCAGGGAAATAATTGGGATGACATAATTAGTATCCAAAAAAATCTTGAGCGGGAAGGACCATGAACACATGATGAAGTTTAAAGATCAGTGTAAAATCTAAAAAATTACTGCAGGGGCGCCTGGGTGGCTCAGTTGGTTAAGCAACTGCCTTCGGCTCAGGTCATGATCCTGGAGTCCCTGGATCGAGTCCCGCATTGGGCTCCCTGCTCGGCAGGGAGCCTGCTTCTCCCTCTGACCCCCCCCCCCCCATGTGCTCTCTCTCTCTCATTCTGTCTCAAATAAATAAATAAAATCTTTAAAAATAAATAAATAAATAAATAAATAAAAAATGACTGCAATCAGAGGATATGGGCAGAGCTCAGCGAGCAGCACAAGTCACCACTGGAATGCATCTGGACCCCCAAAATAGCAGGTGTTGGAAATCAGGATGTCCAGAACAAAGACATGGGTGGGCCTGCTTCGCAGTGTTCCTTTGAGGTAACCAGCACCAGTAGGAGCTGCTAGCTCAGCAGAATCTTCTGCCAGTAATAGCCATATATAGTAGAAAGACTACCCTCAGAGTTGGGAACTGAAAAAGCGCTTGGTAGACTCTTCAAGTAAGGGATCTGAGCATGAGATGAAGGATTGTACTAGCTGAGTGGCTGTCAAAAGTTTTTGGTTTCTGGACTCCTTTACACTTAAAAATTACTAAGAGCCCCAAAGTGCTTTTGTCCTACATCAGATAATATCCATTGATATTTCTTACATTAGAAATTAAGACAAGATTTTTTTTTTAGGCGTTTATTTATTTGACAGAGACAGAGAGGGAACACAAGTAGGGGGAGTGGGAAAGGAAGAAGCAGGCCTCCCGCCAAGCAGGGAGCCCGATGTGGGGCTCGATCCCAGGACCCTGAGCCAAAGGCAGACGCTTAACGACTGAGCCACCCAGGTGCCCCAAGATTTTAAAATATTTATAAATAGGGGTGCCTGGGTAGCTTCGTTGGTTAAACATCCGACTCTTGATTTTGGCTCATGTCATGATCTCAGGGTTGTGGGATTAAGCCCCACATAAGGCTCTGCGCTCAGTGTGGAGTCTGCTTAAGATTTTCTTCCCCGGGCACCTGGGTGGCTCAGATGGTTAAGCGTCTGCCTTCGGCTCAGGTCATGATCCGAGAGTCTTGGGTTCGAGCCCCACATCGGGCTCCCTGCTCAGCGGGGAGCCTGCTTCTCCCTCTGCCTCTCTCTCTCTCTCTGTCTTATGAATAAATAAAATCTTCAAAAAAAAAAGATTTTCTTTCCCTCTGCCCCTCCCCCTGCTTGCGCGCACACGTTCTCTTGTAAATAAATCTTTAAAATACTCATTTACAAAGGACAATAGCATTTTTATGAAGAAGAAACTTTTCCAAAACTTGCCTTTAAAACATTTTTGAGAGGAGAGGCATAGTACATTTTTTGAATTTTGCAAATCTCTGATACAATTAATAGAAGACAGTTGGATTCTCCTACTTGTCAGTCTCTTGCGTAGCGTCTGGGAAACACTGTACACTTGTGGGAAAAAGAGGGTGAAAAAGGCAAGTAATGTCTTAATATGATGAAAATAGTTTTGACCTGAGAATCTTGGGAACCCTCAGGAGTCCCCACCATACTTTGAGAAGCACTGCACAATGACTTCGTAAACGTGGGATTCTACCATTTTTCTTCCCTGTTGTCGCCCTTCTCCTAAAGCCCCTAAATCATAGAGGAAACTTGTTTTAGTCCCATGATGACAGCTTGCATCCTACCCTGTGTATTTTTCTATTTCTGACCTCTTTTATAGCCTCCTCCTATGTTTATGCCTTACCCTTCCTAACCTGTTCTTTGCTGTGATGCTTAACTTCCCAAATTTCATACCTGCCATACATACCATTGTTATGTCCAAGTAGAGGCCTGTTGGCGTTTTTGAGGAAAGGATCCTTCCTCAGGAAAAGAGGTCAAACTGTTTGACCTTAGGACCTCAGGATACTTTGGACTGTTTGACCTCAGGATCCTTCCTCAAGATGAAAAGCCTGGTCTCCAGTGTTAATCCTTAAGTGAGACCTTCTCTGACCTTCATTTCAACACTTTTGCCCTTGATCTCCATTGCTGACCTTAACTCCCCATAGCACTTACCACCCAGAATCTCAGTGGCGAGGTCTCCACAACTAGGCTGCGAACAGCTTGAGGGCAGGGACCATCCCTCATCTTTTGTGGCCCCAGTACCCCCACCACAGGGCTCTCTTGCTCATCTCCTATCCCCTATTCATGGGATCTTGAGTTCTAAATTAGCATCTTGTTTAGGGGCCTCATTCTTTTTTTTTTTTTTTTGATTTTATTTATTTATTAGAGAATGAGAGAGAGCACAAGAGGGAAGAGGGTCAGAGGGAGAAGCAGACCCCCCGCTGAGCAGGGAGCCCGATGTGGGACTCGATCCCGGGACTCCAGGATCACGACCTGAGCCGAAGGCAGTCGCTTAACCAACTGAGCCACCCAGGCGCCCTAGGGGCCTCATTCTTAAGAGTTGGCTCAGGGAAATCCATTTCCACTAAGCTGCTTTTACCCCGAGACTTCACAGTTGCTCTTCCATGTGCTGCTCCGACCAGATTCTTCGGTAGTTATCAACTTAAGACTAACAGAAATGTTTCCTTTTCTATTTAGTTCTCCAAATGACAAGAAGTCTTTTTGCTCAGTTGAAGGGGAATGGAATGGTGTAATGTATGCAAAATATGCAACAGGGGTAAGAAGCTATATTTTACACTTATTTTAGGCTACATTAAATTGTAGCCTTTCATCCAGAAATTTAAATACCAAGGCCAACTGTAATGCCATCTCTTCAGGGAAATCCTTTTCTTTCCCCCACCTCTTCCCCAGTGGTACAGTGAGTTTTATTTTCCCCTCTCCTCTCAGAACACTCAGTATATGTAAAAAAAATATTAATGCTTGGCATATAGTAAATATCCAGTAAATGACAGCTGTATCATTAGAATGGGTGGTATGTTTATAAAATTAAGTGCTAAACTAATTTGTTTGTATACACAACTTGACTTTTTATAAGAAATGTATTTAGTGCCTGGCACCATGGATACAGAAATGAGTAAGATAGTCCTTGATCTCAAGAAACTTGCAAACAGTACCTAATTAAAGTAGGAGGAAGGTGGTATGGGATTAACAGGAGGAGCCAACGAACTGGATTTTGGACTTGGAGAATTTGAAATGTAAAAAGCACTTCAGCATTTAGCATTAGAATTAGTTTATGGGCCTAATTTCATAAGAGATTAATATTGAGCATATAGCACATAGCCACATTGAAAACCTCTGTTGAGCTTCTACCAAGACTTAAGATACACCACTATATTTTAAGCTGAAGGTAGCATCTGAAACTCACTGTCTGTACATCCTATTCCTATGTGGGATTTGACTATTAAATCTGTTAAACGTTTCTGGGGAGAGTTGACTTTTCCTCCCAGAACAGTTTGAACAATAAAACATCTACCTATCTCTTATTTTCTAGGAAAATGCAGTTTTTATAGATACCAAGAAGTTGCCTATAATTAAGAAGAAAGTGAGGAAGTTGGAAGATCAGAACGAGTATGAATCCCGCTGGTAAGAGGACTTTGCTAGAGCTATTGTGGCGATGTCCTTGCTAATGGCTAGGCAAAGGCAGGGCTGGGTTTTGGAGACACAACAGCAGAGTATAACAGAGCACAGACTAATTCTGAATACCTGGGTTCATATGGAGCTCCACCACTTACTAGCTTTTTAACCATGACTGTAAGCTAGCCTCTCTTTGCCTTCTTTCCTAAAATGGGAACTACCTCAGAGTTGATGTGAGGACTGAATGAGATAAAACACGTAGTATATATATGATGCTTGGGATATAGTAAGTATTGTGTGCAGACTTATCACCATCTTTGTGGTTTTTTTGTTTTTTTTTTAGATTTTATTTATTTGAGAGAGACAGAGATAGTGAGATAGAGAGCACAAGTGGGGAGGAGAGGGAGAAGCAGGCTCCCCACAGAGCAGGGAGTCCGATGCGGGGCTCGATCCCAGGACCCTGGGATCATGACCTGAGCCGAAGGCAGACGCTTAACTGACTGAGCCACCCAGGCGCCCACCATCTTTGTGGTTTTTAAGAGAAGGCAGTGAGGTTCCCAAAAGACCCTGTCTTTTGTTGCAAAAAACTTTAAAAAATTTCATCCCAAAGTATTTCAGTATATATCTCTAAAGTGACTTAAAAACCACTAGCCACAATATCACACTTTGAAAAAACAAATCCTTGGGGCACCTGGGTGGCTCAGTCGTTAAGTGTCCGCCTTAGGCTCAGGTCATGATCCCAGAGTCCTGGGATCGAGTCCCACATCGGGCTCCCTGCTCAGCGAGAAGCCTGCTTCTCCCTCTCCCACTCCCCCTGCTTGTCTTGTTTCCTCTCTTGCTGTGTCAAATAAAATCTTAAAAAAAAAAAATCCTTAATATCATCAAGTATCTAGTTGGTATTCAATTTTCCAGTGGTTTCAAACATATTTTTCCTTTCGCATTTGCTACAGTAAAATCAGGATCTATCCGTGGTATGAGAATCACACACTGAAGTTCTTTGTTTAGCATATTAGTGCATTTAAGTGAAGGAAGAGGATCTTACAAATGATTACCCAACTGTTGTCTCTACTTGTTAACAGTCTGCTTGCCTGGACTGCCTGCTCGTATTTATAAGTGGAAATCTATAGAAATTTGTGCTCTGCTCCTCACCACAGGGGGATCTTAAGCATGGCCACTTCTCTGGTCCCTAGGTGTCTTCCCTTGTAAAGTGACACTAGACTTACCTAGTTATCATCTTCCAGGCCTTGAGAAGAAGCCACATCTCTTACCCCCATAAGTCTCTGCAGTTTACCTCTTGACCCTTATTCTCTTGGTTCAGACCGTTTCTCTAGATTTCATTTTTCAAGGGAGTTTTTCGGAAATGGCACTTCTTTCCCCTGATCTAACCCTTCTGGTTTATAATAAAGGAAACTCACACCCTAGAAAGGTGAATGATGAACCCCCAAAGTTGCATAGCTAGCTAGAGATAGAGCCAAAAGTAAAATCCCAGATTTCAGTTGTGTTCTTTCTTCTCTGTTGTCTGTACCATATATCTAGCTTTCTGCCCATCCTCTATGTTCTTCCTTTGACACTAGCAGTGGAATCTTCTGAGTCCATTTCTTTGTCCTTTATTCCATTGCCTTGGTACCACTTTAAGGAGATTCAATCTGTGAACTACACTTAAAACCGTTTGACTTACACTCTCATTATGCTATATTCAGTCAGGCTCCAGACTTTCAGTCTCAAGTTTGCTAACTCCTCTGTCCATCTAGTACTCAGGGCCTTGACTTCTTTTCTTTAGCCTTTGGAAGGATGTCACTTTCAACTTAAAAATCAGAGACATTGATGCAGCAACCGAAGCCAAGCATAGACTTGAAGAAAGACAAAGAGCAGAAGCTCGGGAAAGGAAGGAGAAGGAAATTCAATGGGAGACAAGGGTAAGCTCGATTGGGGAGCCGGCCCCAACCTACCAGCTGCTATTCCCCCTGAACTCTGAGCTGTAAGTCATTCATTCATTTCAGTGAATGCTGAAGTAGTGAACCACTTTTAAATAAGCATAGTGATGAACAGGGTGAGCCCTGGTCCCTGCCTGAAACTCACTTTAGTGTAATGAGGGGGAGAAGACATAGAATAATAAAAAGTATGGTATTATTTGTAGACATACAAAGCAAGTGAGTAACTGAATTCTCCCCCTTTCTTTTACAGTTATTTCATGAAGATGGAGAATGTTGGGTTTACGATGAACCATTACTGAAACGTCTTGGTGCTGCCAAGCATTAGGTTGGGAAATGCAAAGTTTACATCTGACGACCAGGGCAATAGGCATAATTAAGCAACAATCTTCCTTTGGGAGAACCTATTCACTCCCTTCTTATTGCAGTGGTTCCTATCTCAGGGATACTGGACTTTCTGATGCAGATGAACAATTAAAGCGAGAAAAGCTTCCCTTTTTTCCTTTTCTGTGGCAGTTACAATTTTGACTTCAGTCCTGAGAAAAACTTCAGGTTTTGAAAACAAGATGATCTGCTTTTTTCCCCAAGCCCCATGCTTTGAAAAGCATTTATAAATCCCGGTCTTAAACTTTGCACACCTAGTACGGCTGTTAAGATATACATCCACACACACACATATATACACACACGCACACATATAGACCTGATGCCAGATTTTTCATAAATACTCCATCTACTGTAAATATTGGTTCCTCTTAGTTGTTTTAGAAACTTAGTGCAATGTATTAAAATCAAGTGTTAGGAAATTTCATGCCCTCACCTATAACTTTTGTTTTGGAATTGGACTATTATTAAATTGTATCTAACTCTGGACTATATTTAATTATACTCAGTGCTTCTTAAGGCTTCATAAAGTAATTTTTCCAAATTTTTTTTAATGTGTTTCTTTTATTATCTGGCAACCTTGAATCCAGGAGCTAAGTCGCTTTACACAAGGACTCTCCTAAAACAATGGAGGGTCCATCCTTTTTCTCAACCCTCCCTTATACTCTGTGTTTAGCCCCCACCATGCTATTCTATTCTCCAGAGTTCCTTGAACTCTCATATAGCACACGTAGGGCTCCCAACATTTTATCCAAAAATATTTTATTGCCTTAGAGGGTTTAGGAAGAGGGTTTTAGATCCCCACCCCACACTGAAACGAACAAAAAAGAATGCCACAGCACCAAATGGCTCATTCTGTAGGGCATTACAGAACTATCATCTATCTTTATTTAAAAGTACATTAAACACACACACACACACACACATACACACACGTATTAGCACCTAGCATTTAGGCACTAAGACATCAGTTACATAGGGCCTCTCAAGGTTCTTCATGTGGGAACCAGGACAGGCCAGGGCTTGTCAAACTGTTCCTGCAAGCTTTTTGGTAACTTGGCACACCCTGCTACTTTCTATCATCTGCCAGCCACTACAGTAACTCTTGGTTTGTTAGTCACAATGTGGGGGGTAGGAGGAGTATAAATCAAATTCTATGATAGCAGTGCAAAAATTCTATGGCACTAGTAGTAGTGTAACTTCATAAAATACAAACACATTTTTAAATACACAGTGCTTCAGGCCGACAAGACTGCAGTTTATTTGACTATTTTATGGTAGGGGAGAAGGTTAAGTGTTGATGTGAAAGCCCTGATATCAGTAATGGGGATGGTAGAATCTACCAGCAGAGGAGAGGATGGCAAGTAGGTGAGCTGCATCACTTCACAAGAAGAGTTTGAATCCTCACCAGAAGGGGAACCATCCTCTTCTAGCTCATACTTCCCAAATCCAACAACCTGAAAGAAGCCAAAGACTTGAGGTGAGAAATATGCTGACCAGATACGGGCAAAGACCTGTTAGAATTTCTAGTCCCAATCCAAACTCGGGGGGTGGTAACTGGGCTAAATGACTGCTCTGGAAAGGACAGAGCTACAGCTTAGTTCACCATACTCACGTGAACGCTGAGCATTTTACTTCCTGGTCCTCTGTGAGCCTTGAACCAGTCAACTAGGTCGGATTTGGAGAATGACTTCAGTGCTTCAATCTTACAGGGGAAACGGAATACAGGAAAAAAAGAAAACTATAAAAGACAAGCAGTACATTTTCTAAAAAGGTCATTATTTAAGAAACACACACCCTAGGCCAGAACTCTTTGGTTCTGCTTAGCATCTGAGCATATCATTTTATTCTTCCAGGTTTCAGGTTGCCCTCAACGTTTTGCACCAGAGAAGGATGAAAATAAGCCTCTGTGACACACCTTTGTGTGTTTCATAGCAATAGTTAACCCTGGCAAATAAGAAAGGGTAGTAGACGCTGTAATTACAGCTGAGTAGTACACACGGAGCCAAAACCCACCATCACCTTAGTGTCATACCTCGAGTACATGCTAAGGGATACTCTGGCCTGAGAAAATACAGTAACAATTGAAACAGATGAAGAGAAGTTTGTCTTCTAATAGGAAAACTGGAGCACCTTATGAGCTGGGCTGAAACCTCTTGTTAAATGACCCTTTTGCTTCAGTGTCCTTTTGTTAATTTACCACATAGGGTTATATTATCAAAGAGTGTTAGACTGCAGGTCCCAGAGCTCTTTTTGTAGGTTTTATTACTTTGGGCTAAAAGTGGTCAAAAAGACCTAACGCCCAGAATTAATAAAGCTGGAATTCCATAAAGACCAGAAGTTCTCAATTTTCTTTAAATAGCAGAAACCTTTTTTCCTCCACAAATCCTGTACTGAGCCTCAATATAAATACAAAATATAAAACAATTATGTTACACAAAAACAGTACCAATACCAAAAATGGATCAGCTCTCTTCCACACAGTATTGATTTGCTTGGGATTGTGACTCAAAATCAGGAATCCTGGTCAGGGCTCTAATACTCAAAACTGTGTTACTACTACCTCATGGGCAAGGCGATCAAAGAGATACTGCTGTGTCACCACCTCGTTCCAGTTCCTATCCACCTCCTCCCCAAGGTGGGTATCCTCGCATTCCTTCAGCTTGATCAGAGCTGTGACCTATTCCACCAAAGAGAGAGATCCTCAGGTATAACATCACACCAGTGGCCCCAGAACACACTTGACCCTGTTTGGTCTGGTCTGTGACAGACCTGCTACGATCCCTTCACTTGCGACCTGCCAGCAGGATGGGGAGGGATGAAGCTAGGAAGACATTTTGGTCACGTTAACGTGGGGCTACAAAACTCAAAAACTGGCCAAAGGAACAAAAGACCAGGCCAGCATACTCACCTGGGTGTTGAATGCTTCCTCGGTGAGGTTCTCGATCTTCTCCTCAAAGCTAGAAAGAAACTCTTCTATCTTCTTATCAACAATTTCAGAACTGAAACAAAACATCTTCAATTAAAAGTCAGCAGAGGGCAACAGTTCTTTCTGCCCACGGGTCCTGTCCCCATGCTTTAATAAAACCACCACTTTGCACCAAAAAAGGGGCAGAAACCTGGTCTCAAGCAGAATGCAAAAGAGAAAAAGAGCTAAGGCATGTTTCTAAGAAAGAGACTGAAGTATTTCCTTCCAGGCCTCAGTACCCTTCCCCTAAGCTGAGTGAGAGAAGAGAACAGAAAAGGACCCAACCCCTAACTCTAGCCCAACTTCTGATATCCTCAACACGGAAGCAATGACAACCCATGTTTGACCACTCCAAAGCTGAGGACCAACAAGACTTGTACCCTGGTTCTAGCATAAATGCCAGGTCAGGCATCTCTGCTTTTCTTGTCCTCAGGCCTGCCTGGAGAGAGGAAACACTGGCAAGCCCTGCACAGTGACCACAGGACACCAAAGGACTTGAGTTAAGCCCCCTAGGACCACTGGAACCATTACTGATCCATCCTGGATCAAGCCATCTATGACCCACCCTCCATCCCCCCCCACCCCGCCCCCCCACAGCTGTGATTAAGGTAAGCAAACCCTATTGGGTCAGAGTTGCCTGGTTTAAGGAAGCACCGACAACCCCCACTCTCCAGGCCAAGAATAATAATAGTTGGGCCCATCTACTCACTTGTATTTAGTTGCCTGAGTCCCCACGGTGACAGAGAATCCTAGAATCCCAGATGTGTTCCTACAGGTAGGGTAAACATGGTACCTACAGCCAGAATGAAAAGTTCTGTGAACTCAGGTAGTCCCCAGGGCCCTGCCCTCAGAAACTACAGGTGAGTGGGAAGAGTTTCTGCACATCCTAATTGGACCTGGAGGTCCTGAAAGAAAATCCACAAACGTGTATGCATCTACTTCATTCTCAGGTTAGGGTGTCCACCCCTCTCCTGAACTGAGGACTACACACTAGTTTTTTTCCTTATCTTTGGAACTTGACCAAACTAAAAACCTGATCATAGTCCAAGATGCAGATTCTAGAAGTTTTGACCAGTCAGTATGACTCTAAAGCATGGAAGGACCAGCGAGCTCTGAGAGGCTGCTCAGTCAGGATATCTGATAAAACTCAGCCTGCAAAGTAAGCCCCAGACCTTTATTTGAGCTCAGTGCTCTTTGCCAGCAGACTTACCCAAGGGTCTGCTTGGTTCGAAGGAAGTCAAAACAAGGCTCTTCCATGTGCATCTGTAATTCAACATACTACCCATCAGCCCAACTCCTCCCAGCAGAGAAACCTCCATTTCTAACCCCCAAGTGTTCCACATAACCCCAAAGTCCAGCCTCCCTTACTGCCTTCTTCCTAAATTGCCCAGGCGCCCTGTCCATGCTCATACCGGGTGAGAATACTAAAAACCATCTCACCTACCAAACAGGCCTCTGACCCCTCCCAAGTCCCTAGCTCCCAGGCAGAAAGGCCAGTCCTCACAGTGGGTCAGGGGTTCCTGAACACATCAACTCTCCTTTATTACAACTTACCACAAGCAGCTCCATAAGAGTGTATTCTTTCAGACTCCTGGCACCTGACTGAAAGGAGAGGTTGGTCAGACCAACTGAAAATCCAACAGCTTACAGGACTTTTTTAAGAATTCTTGGCAACCATTTATTCAGGTATCCATCCCATTCTTCTCTTCCCCCAAGAAAGCTGATCACACCCTCTATTGCCATACTTTGAACAATTTTGTTGATGCATCTGCCTTCCCACTTAGACTGCCTGTGAGGACAGAAACCACACTTGATCATTTATTTGTATTCTTAGCCCTTGCACAGGACTGCAGGCCGACATGGAGGTGAGTCTAACAATACCCAACCTGTCAGCTCCTGCCCGAAGGACCCGAAGGACAAAACCTAAAGTCAAGTACTTGCAGTTCAAGGTCCTAAGGAGAAGAGCAGGAAATATTTGGGATCAGTGAAGGGTATGTGGACCGATTCCTCAGATAGAAAGGGTATGAATAGAAGCTTCCAAGGCCACACACAGGGACCCAAACCAGTCAACAAGAGAAATACCTAAGAGGCAGATACCACACTTGGGAGACCACACCCTGGCTCTCCTGGAGAGTAGCAAAATAATGCAGTTAGAATGAAACAGAGCAGGAGGCCAGCAAGCAAGGATGCTGCTAGTACATCCCACAGCCAGGCTCTTGTAGGCTCCTCTAACAGACTCATTTCTGTTCCTTCCCACTTCACTAGAGGAGGAGGCTAAAAGCCTGTGTGCCCCCCGAGTCCTGTTTAGTCAGGCAAGGAGATATCCTGTTCAAAATGCTCTCTGGGAGGAAGGAAGTGGTTCCCTAAAGAAAGCTTGTTTTAGAAGCTAGTGCTAAGAGGTAATGGATAGAAAACACCTCAACAGACAAGGTCTTACAGTATGAAATCTCACCTATAACAGGAAAAGTACTATAGATTTTGAGCAGCAGAAACACTGGAAATGTGGACAGGGCTAAGCAGGGCCAGGCCATATCATTTATGGAACTTTGGAGCCTGGTAGTCATTTCAGCTTCAAA